GCCAGCATGCAAATCGAAAGCTCTGATTATAATAAGGATCCTATGATTTAGGGCACCCCAAAAGGGACCCTAATTTTTCCGAAAGTTCCCAAACATGTAGAACCTGGAAAGAGATGCACGCACCCACGCACATGCACACACACACACACACACACACGCGATGAGTGGAAAGCATGACGCTGCATCTTCGACGAAGTCTCTGTTCATTCACAGCTGGGGCGAGAGCTCAATCACTTTGGGTCTTAAGTTGAAGCTGTGTCCCTCCTGGCATTTGCTTAGCTTCCAGGGCTGATTTGCATAGTCCCAGCTAAGCCAGCTTGCTTGGATTGGGAGGGCTCACAGACCACGCAATCAGGCTCTAAGACCAGTCTGACAACCCAGGGTTCGATCCTCCTGCTTTGGACCCACTTTGAGGTAGCCACCACCGCATCCCAGATCCTTCTCCTTGGAAGGGTCTGGGCCACAGGCCGGGATTCCGAGCAGAAGCATGAGCTCTTTCGAGCTAGAGGACATCTACTCAGTAACTGCCAATGAATCTGGGACTTCATGCCCGAAGCTTCTATGTAAAGGAAGCCATTACACCGTTGCGATCCTCAATGTAGAGGTTTGGGGCGGTTTGGGGTCGCCGAATGAGTGCAATAAAACCTGCCCTTCACGCACAAATCGGAAAGATTCAAGTTCCAAAGCTCTTCTTGCACACATGACTGTAGTCACGAGTCTACCTTCTTGCAACACGTAAGGCAAAGGACCAGGAGCATGTCAGCATTGCAGCCGTGTTGCGTACTTGGCCTGGTACTGAACGAAGAGCTCCTTGCCTTCGTTGCTGAATGGCTCAAAGGCTGCAGAAATACCATAGAACCTCAGCTGTTCCGCTTTTGCCAACTTGCAAGTCCAGAACTCGGGGGTTTCAGGCAACCCGCACATTGACATTTGGAATAGAGCCCCCTTGACCCTGAACCTTAACCCTCTTTGGAAAGTACGCATGGTCTGACTTGGTCCATTCGCACTGGGGGGGCTCTACAAAGTAGCAGAGTTTCCTCATCGGGCAAACATGAGCCCCACTCCCTTGGTCTCAGTATCTGAGCCCTCCTCTTGACTCTAGCCTGCAAAGTTGGGTGGAAAATGCTGAAGGATCATCAATGTTCACCTTGAATCAGAGCTTTTTTGAGCCAGGACGCTTCATGATCTCTGCTGTCTGCAATCCTGAAATTCTCTGCAAGTCTTTTCTAAGGGATATCCGAGCCTCATGCTAGCCCGCCGAGTTCAAGAGCAATCTTGCTGGGAGAGAGTCAAGAGACTGGAGAGAGGGACGGATCAAGCGAGAGGGAGAGACAGAGAGCGAGAGAGAGATAATGCAGGCATGTTTAACTCTCTAATGCATTTCCAAGTGAAAGCCATCCGTCTCTCTCACTCATTTGTGTCCCAATAAACAGTCTGGCAGAGTAGGCTGCGTTAGCTTCGTAAATCATGCCGGTGTGGGACCATGGGCTTTGTACGCATGCACATATGAATGCATTCATTTCTGCGCATGTATCTCTATCATGCGGTGCATATGCAGCTACACCAAAGCGTAATCGTGAGTGTATTTAACCCAAGGCTGATGTGGACAAACCAGCATGTCTACATCCCCAACAGGCATGCATCCTTTTTCTGGATACTTTATAACTATTACTACCATAATTACAATTATTTCCATTGCTACTATTTTTGCTAATATTTCTGCTATTGAATTATTGCTATCACTGTTTAGAAAGTCCGGGTTCCTACCCTACGCCTTTTTGTGCATCCGGCCTGTCGAGTCTACCAAACAGACTCTTGAACCTGGCTCAAGCACAACACCTTCGCAAAAGCGCTAAACTTCTTAAACCCTAAACCGCTCAATTTTTGGAGCCCTGACCAATTTTGATGAACCCAGACTCTGCCAATCAGCTCTGAACCATAAAACCACAACACTAAACTCCCTAAGACCTGAACATCGGAAGTCATTAGCCCGTAAAGCGCGAGCCACTCGGGGCTTCGGTCTGGTTTCGACGAGTGGCCTCGATCCTCCAGTGCATCTGCGAAGAATCGCCCGGAGGACAGCACCCACTTCCCCATCTTCTCCTGGCGGTTCAGGGTTTCAGGAATCTAGATCTATAGAAGTTTGCGGGAAAAAGGCTTAATGCTTGATTAAGGGGGTTGTTAGTATTCGGAACTTGGGAAAAGAAACTGCAGGTTCCGGGTTTAGGGCCGTTTACATTATGAGATGCGCGCGCACACGCTTGAACAGGCTAATCAATTTAAGGGGTTTAGGACTTAAGGCTCTGCTTCGGTTTGGGGGCCTAGGGAGTGTGTACCATGTTCCCGAACAAGCATCGCAGAAGTTTCGGAATCCCAAAGCCAAACCCCGGAAGCGATCAGGGTCTACGCTTTCATGTGCGCAGTTCTACACCTTTTTCTGCTACTGGATTCAACTTTTGCCAGACCACGACCTGCAATCATCTTGACTGAGGCCGGCATTCCTAAACCTGAAACCCAAAGCCACAGAAAGGCTGTGCAAACTAAACCGGCTGTTGTTTGTCGAACATCGTTTCTACCACGCTGGCACGCTGTGAAATTGCAGCTCTTTCTCCTGAGTGGGGCAAGCGTGAGCTTTGAGAAGCTACGGTTACTGTCAACACAGCGATTCCGAGCGGTGCATGAACATACATGTTGCTTTCAGCCCGGTACTGTGAGCTACATGAGTTTGAGTATTACGTGGCCGTCCAACATGCGAACAGCAAAGTTGTTTGTCTCTGCTGGCCTTCTCGCTGTCCTTCCACGTGCTCAACGTCCATCGGTTGGCCCAAGAATCATCGAAGGTTTCGGAAAAGTAGACCTTCCCCCAAGTCGTCTCCTTGGCATGCAAATTCGACTGCCTACGAGTGCACAATCGACATGGCATTTCTTTGCTTGCCAGGGAGAGATGAAAGAGACGATGAGAGCGGCTGGAACATGAAGGTCAAACCTTCGCCTCTGCAGGTTCTACCGGTCTATGCCATGGGAAAAAGACCTTGTCTTCTCCACCAATGACAGCAAAAAGTGTCTCTCTCTCTCTCTCCACAGGGCATGAGGGACTGTTATGAAGGACTGTTCAGGTCCCCCGGCCTCACGGGACCCCCCACTGGTTCTGGGGCTTTGAGACTGTGAAAACATGATACAGGTTCCCACCAGCAAGTCAACTTAAATGTTATCACAGTGCAGTGTTGAATGTTCCCCTGGGTATCAGCTGGACACCTGCTGCATGAATTTGTGTTCACATGCCTCGGCCTTCTTCCCTCCGAGCAGTGAAAAACTTCAAACTACAAGGACCCGATAAGACAAATAACACCCCCTAGGCATGTGTTGTCAAGGAGCGATGGTGAGTACTTCTCCCACGGTTTGCCACAGTGTGCGCCATGTTCCCCGTGCAAACCAACTCTCTGGCTCCCTCCCTCTCTCTCTCACTCTCTCTCCAGGGCAGTCAGTCGCCGGTCAGGCCCCACGAGCCTCCTCCCCACAGCACGAAAAACTAAGCCCTTGTGAAAACGTTGCACAGCCTAGAACCGTGAACTCGAAACCCCAAACGCTGCAGACCCTGCGCCCGAAGCTTGAGCCGGGCTGCTCCAAGCAGGAGCACATACCACAGGCAGCTTGTGCGCACCATGGCCGCTCGCGGGAGGAAGTGCGCAGATTAGGATGAAGTGGAAGGACTTGGAGTATCGTGTGCAAAGCTGTATAGGGGTTACCCACCGACATAAATAGTAACCTCTTTAGTAATTCTGAATCTCTCCGTCGGTGCTGTGTGTTCGACTTTCAAAACTGTATTGGTGTCGGATGATCTGAGCTGCCTCTCTGACGCTCGTCTTTCATGGCCTGCTGCTGCCGTAAGTCTTTCGACCGTCTGATTCAAGACCGTCCTCGCAATTCGCTTAGCCTAATTACATCCTCCTCCTATGATTCTATAAATGTCCTGAATATGAACAAGCGAGCCTGGCCAAGATAACGAACATAGGTGCAATTGAATGTAACGAAGGGACCCACATTACAAATGGGAAGTTAACTCCTCAGGAAAAGAAACGAAATTATCAAATTCACTGACATACCAAATACGAGGTGGAAGTACCAACGAAACTGTGATCAGTTGAAAGCGTCTCTTGTATCACGTAAGTTTTGACTAAGAAGCTCTCACTACGTCCAAACAGTTGAAACATGCGTTCGCTCATTACATCCACAACATTGTTTGTCAAGCAATTGAAACAAGTGTTTGCGAGATCAGCAGTCCTACAAGCTCATTTCGCCCGCTTGCTCTGCCGCCACGTCGGGGAGCTGCGGCGCAGGGCGGATTCCCCCCGGCAGCGGCCTACAACCGTGGCGAAGGGCTTCTAGGATTCTACGATATTAAGAGGCCTAAATATTCATTCACAAGGCATGAATATACCATCTGTCTATATCAAACACATTCAAATACCATGTGTGAAATTTTGGAGTTCAAGGCTCCAGCTCACCGGATTTGGAGCGGATATCGGCCTGACCTCCATTCCTTAAACCCTGGTACACCCTAACTTGTTTTTGGGTTTAGGGTTTAGGGTTTAGGAGGGTTTGGGGCTTGCTGAAGTCCAACAGCCTCCAGGTCTGGAAAGGCTTATCTTAGGAAGCTATGACTATCAAGGTTGCGGTTTAGGGTTTAGGGTTTAGGGTTTAGGGTTTAGGGTTTAGGGTTTAGGGTTTAGGGTTGCGCGTTTAGCTAGGACCTTGCATCCTGTGTGGGGCTTGTCTGAAAGATCGGCTCGGGACCTGAACTGCTGATGTTCTCGCGCCTACGCGGGAAAAAACAACCGTGGGAATAATTACATGAATCCATGTCAAGACGCCTCTTTGAACAAGCAAACAATGCATAATCCCTGTAAGAAGCACAGGCACGCCGTCCCGCAAAGAATCTAACAAGCCATGGCTGACCCGACGAAAAACAGTTTCGCAAGCACCCTAAGAAGCATGCAGGCATTTGGTCAGTTGCAAATGCAGCAGGATAGACTGCCGGTGTGATCGTGAAACCCTAAAAGTCGAAATCTGCAGCTGCACGTCTCAAGTATGCCGGTCCTTTCCACTCAAGCCTTCAACAAATACATCTGTCAACAGGTCTCTCTCCGTTTAGGGAATGGGCCATGTAGGGTTGCAAACCCAAACGAGTAGATGACCTTTTTCAGATACTGGCGGCGACCATGCAAACGGAGCGGCACAGTACGTACATTGTACATATACAGACATAAATATACATGCATATATATTTACAAATCTGTGTGTGAGAGAGTGTGTGTGCTTGTATACGTATATAGACGAAACCATGAGAGGAAAACATGCGCTAATGACTGAGCGAAAAGCTCCTGGTCAGTCTGACGATGTGATCCCCAACTTCTGGATGAAGAGCCTTGAAGCTATGTCGCCATAGACAGGTCCGTAGTGCACCAAGTCCACGGTCAGCTCCAACCCAGCTGCCTTTTGGATCTGCTGCAAACTTTCGCCACGTCCGGCATAGAGCCGCCAAGGGAGCGCACAGAGGAGCAGCAAAGACTCACCCAAGGAATATGCTCGGGACTTGGCTGCTATACTCCCGTTTGCGGCTGCCTGGTTCAAGTGGTCAGCACAGGCCTCGAAGAGGGGCACGTAGATGCACTCGCTCTTCTCCGCGACACGGCACACTGATTTTGCCATGGACGCACCAAGGCGCGCCTCCTCTGAGTTCAGATCTTCTCCCAAAGGAGGTGGCGACGCGAGTAGCACCGGGAAATCTCGAGAAATGCGGCTGACTGCCTGCTGCAGCTGCCCTTCGTAGCTTGCCAGCCACTCTTCCTCGGAGACTCGGAAGGCTCCAGCCACGGCTGTGTAGCCTTACTTGGAGGGTCGGGGGACTTAGTAAGTAGATATCAAGTAGAGTTATAAGCATCCTAAAAGGGAGCCTAATTGGGGTTATGGTACTTATAGGGCTAAGTACATCTCCAGCATTTTGGAGAAGTACAGGGCAACCGTAGGATCCGTAGGGATGCAGTTTTGGAGATTCTAGTACACCGAAGTATATACGGATTCCTTTGGGTACTGTAGGGGCCTTGATAAATAGAATAGGGTTTTGGGGCCCATTATACTGTAATCATAATAAGGAACCCCCAGAATAGTATTGGTAATTATTTCAGCCCCTATAGTATTATGGTGTCCCAAAATACTCTACTACCAGGCAGCGGATGAGGTCATTGGTTCCAAGCAGTAAAACTAAGCCATGGCTTGGCTGCAGGGCAGACGCCTCCTCCAAAAGATCGGACTCCAAGGTGTCCTTGGTGCATCTTGGGAAGGAGAGGGTTTTTTCCCTTCTCGTATGGCTGAGTTCGATGCTCATAAGCGACGTCTTTGGGGCAACATCGACTAGGTGCAGCACGTCCGCAAAGCTAAATCTCCCTTTCATCGACTATCCAGTTTAGTAGCTTCACGATGACCCCAGCGATGAAAGTAAGGGTTCCTAGAAAGCACCAAGCAAAATCCTTCAAGAAGTACTCTATGTTATATATCCCTAAAAAGGTTGCCACATACCCGGAACGTCATGACGGATTCCCACAAGGTACACGCTACTCGAAAGCAACAGCACATACCAAAGAAGGTGCTCACGGAAGATTCTCTTCATGCCTGTAGCCGTGACGAGACTGCCAACCTATGCATGCATTCAGGCAATCTGCAGCGCAATGCCGACTTACATTTTGGTATCACTCATTTGTTCCAACTGTCTCACTTGCTTTTCAAGCCCTCATCCGGACAGGAAGCCCCTCACGGGGTTTAGGGATCAGGGCTTAAGAAATGGATTCTCTTTCAAGATACAGGGAAACCCAAAGCACCCCGAAGCAAAGAGTCCAAACCCTAAGCCCCAAACCATATCCCTAAGAATGGCCAAGTATCGCTCAACGCCCGGAAATTTCGCCCAGCATTTACAAAGGCACCAAGACCAAGATCTCTGTGGCAGCGAGACTCAAGGACCTGAAGAACGTTGGCCGAGAGGGTACCTCCCAAAGGGTCCAGGGAACAGTGTTGGGTATGGGGAATAAAAATCTAACTACTAAGAAAGAACTGGATGCCAGGTGGGGTATGGGGGTCAGTAAGAGAAAGGAAAAATTTACATCTCAGAGAAATGTATACATCTAAGAAAAATAAAACTTACAACTAAGCCTGCCACCCGCTTAGGTTAGGGCCTTGCGTCAAGCTATCACCGACGAAAACGGCGCAGGTCTTCATCTTCTTGGCTTCGGAAATGCCGGTTGGGCGCGGTGCAAGCTGTGCAGAGGCAGCAACCGCCGCGCCGGGGGCCACAAGTACCGAGGTGGGCAGGGCTATGTTGAGCAAGCTACCCGGATCTTCGAATGGCTTCACACCGGGATCCACCACGCAGTCCAGAAATGTCCAAAGGGCCACCACTGAGACCCAAATGAGAAGTGCTTGCTGCTGCCACTCTGAGCGCCGCTCCGGTGTGGAAGCGGGCTCCGCCCATGCCAGCTCTTCGGGCCCTTGGGCCCCAGCCTGCAGGCGGCTATGGCGGTTCGGCCCTGCGCCAAACCGAGGAAGTCCAGTGAAGGCAGCAGCCGGCCTCCCAAACTGCCCGAAACCGCCGAGAGCTAGGCAAAGGCAGAACAGGAGCCGCTGTCGAGAGATCCGACGTCGTTTTTCCATCTGGCACCTTGACCTAACCCGCCTAAAGAACGGGTGACTCTTGAACATTTGGGTATGCTTGTGGGGCTGGAAATTCATGTTCAGGCACACGCAACTCGATAGATGCTGTAGGTTCTACTATTCTACTGTAAGGGTTGAGCTACTTTCTCTGCTGCATCAACTGCTTGCAAGTTAAACACCATGGGATGGTTGTAGCCAATGGCTGCCGACTGTCAAAGAAACTTAGGACCCTATGATTTGGCAAGACATGCATGCCGGCACTTTACTGAACGGTCAAAGCCCTACAATGAGAGCAGCACTGCAGTCGGAAAGAGTCTGCACCATGCAAGAGGTGCCAGCGGCAAGTTGGCACGGAAGGGCGGACAAAACTTTACCAGGACCCCCCAACCTTTCACAGAGCCCCTGTGGTCCTGAATAGTGGGTATTTGTGGTAAGCCTCTGCAGCAGTGGCGACCACGTGGGAGCGAAGAGCAGGTCCAGTTGCAGTATGCGCGCCACATCCTCTGCACTCTGAACGCTTTTCGGGTTGAGGGGTCCACGCACACACACACACACACACACTCGCAAAGGCAGGTTCAGGTACGGGATCCGCACACGAGTCTCATAACGGCAGCTGGCCACAGGGACGTGCGGGATGAGAACTGACACAGCTCACGAACTCCAAACCAAGTAAGAAAGATCATGGCTAAGAAGAACTGAACTGCTGAACCACTCGCACATTACAAGAATCCCGCAAGTCCCCAGCAAGTCCAAGGCAGCCAACCCAGCCGTGGCCCTTTGCTACAGGGACCGGCAGCACGTACAAGATCATTGGGGCTTCACGGCTAGGCCAGGGCTACTGTTTCAAAACAACACTATACGCGTAAGCGAGCCCCGACAAAGGGGCATGCCAGTAAGGCTTGCTGAGACAATGGCAGGTTGACAAAGCCCATCCGGCGCAGCTTTCCCACGCCTATGGGGTCCACAGGACACTGGACGCCGAGTTCGGAAGCACTGTTTGACGGAAAAGGTTTCCCATCTCAACCTTGCACAGCACATGGAACAAACAACTGCTCTAAACTCGGCCCTGTCTGCCCAGCTCAGAAGGGGCGACTCCTCCTCAGTCCTCCACTTCTGATCGGCCATCTCTGCCGTCGCGCGCCGGCACGAGACCGTTTTTCTGGAGGTTTCGCCACTTGTCTTTGATCTGTATCCCATTCCTGTGTTGGAGGCCACAGCTCTTGGAAATCATGTTCCACTGCTTTCCGTAAATCCGAAAGCCTTCGAGCAGACGCTGCTCTTCTCCTTCCGTCCAGACAGTGTATTCCTTCCTCGGCTTCGGGGCTCCAGCTTGCGCCACACTGGTGTCGCCCTCCACCAGCTGCGCAAAAGAGTGCACTCGCTTGTTGGACCGCCCTCCTGGAAGACAGTCTTCGAAGGCAGGCAGCTCGCTGACTAACGGGTCATCGAAGATGTTGGGGCCACCCCGAGAAGGCCTTTGGTCTGCAGATCGTTCTCCCTGCACACCTGGCGTGGGCTTGTAGCGCTTCAAACCTCGGTCCTCGCTCGACTCCGCCGGCCTGAAAGCTTCACCCGGCACTGTGGAGGCCTGCGACTGCGAGTCCTTGGACGAGGCAATTTCGATGGGATCCTCCTCGGCATGCTTCGGCAGCATTTCACGGCTCAACTTGCGCGCTGCTTCAAAGACCTCACGCGGGAGCCGATCCGAGCTTGCTGAAGACGAGGATGGACCCTCTTCCAAGCCGATGTCCCTAACTCCCAGAAGTGCATCGATGTTGGGCGTCTTGGCCCAATCGCGAGCCGCATTGCTGAGCCGCTCCCCGGGCTGAGAAAGCAGTCGCAGGACCTTTGCCAAACGTGCCACCAGCCGCAGACGCCTGCACTGCAGCAACGCATCGCGAGAAATGCCCAAGGTCTTTTCGCAAAGTGCATTCGCTCCTTTGCAGAATGCATTCACCCCTTTGAAATCTGCATTCAAAAGGTGAAAGGCAGCAGCATCGACCTCTTGGATCGTGGCCTCTGCTGACTTCCCCATGTGCGAGTCGCAATCGGGATACACTCACGAGCTGGGGGAGCCGGAACTAGACATCAACGAAAGTCAATAGCATGCACAAGGCCAACGTGGACATGTGTAACTGCTACTTGCTAGCTATCGAACATCCGTAGTACATAGCTATAAATCCGCTGCATCCTTTCAGCTTAACCGAATTCTGAGCCAAAATGGCCCATGGAAATATAGAAAGAATGTCAAACCGTGCAACTCCGAACAGGGTCAAGCAATGACGATGTACTTCTGCCAACAAGAGCGCGGCAACAAAAAAAAAAAAAACAAAACTTACTCAATACCTGTCACGAAGAATCAGCAGGCGAATAAATAGTAACGACGGCAATCAAAGTTGTCACGATCGTCATCGTGGTTCGCTAACGTCGTGGAATCAAGATTGCAGACTGGAAAAAATCCGCCCATCCTCGGAGAAGGTGGCATCGGCGACATCCACGACTTCAAATCCGTTCTCGGCCATAAAGCGGATGAGTTCCTTGCAATCCAGAACGCTGTCCTCTTTGACCTGCCTCCGCTCGGACCCGCAACCCTGACCCTAAACTGAAAACATAGCGGGCCTGAATAATTAGAATTCAGAATATATTAGAATAGAGTTTTGGGGCGTAGTATACTCTAAGAGTTGTGATAAGGAGCCCCCCCCCCCAAAATAGTACTGGCAAAAACTTAGACCCCTATCTCAAAGCTCTACCCCTGAAGCCAGGCCTTCATCACTGCCCGGTTTTTATGCTCAAACCCTGAAATCTAAAATCTACAGGCCTCCGAAGTCCTAGAGTGCCTTTAATACATGGAAGGGTTACCCAAACCCTCAACCGTTGAGGGTTTAGGGTTCTTTGAGACTTCATTGACAGTCGGGTTTCGGGGTTTGGCGTCGAGGGTTTGCCTAACCCCAAAATCCGATACCTCTCAGAATTCAAGCCCAAAACAACTAGACAGAACGGATTGCATCAAAGACCCCAAAACCTAAACCTCCACTCCTATACTTCGAAACCTAATACCTAAGCCTGAACCCCAAACCCCAACCCTTCAACTCTGAACCCTATACTTTATAATACCCTAACCCACTGAAAAAGGTCCCAGCTAAGGCTGCCGAGGCTCGGAAAACCGTGGCGCTCCTTCGTTGTAGGGGAGGAGGGAGGCCTCCAACCAGGACATACGGTTGATGATATAAATCCTGCATTACCCATAATAAGGAATATACCATAACTCCCATAGTCTAGGGTCCTTAAGGTAATGCAGGATTTAGATCATGAGCAGTACAAGGGTTTCAGATGTTGTTTCCCACGCAGGCTTCAGGTTAAGCTGTTGAGTTTGTTTGTTGTTTTGCCTCGGTTCTGTCTACATTGTTTGCATTTAGGATTTCTGAACTTGGGGAGGCTTGTGAAGGCCAGGATTTCTTGAAGAACCACCTCTCATCCTTAAGGTGCAATGTTTGCAGGGCAGGGCAACAACAGAATTTCAAACTCTCAACTCTTGACTCTAAATATCCTGGATCAACCTATTCATGGGAGAAGCTGCTTTCAAAAAAATCTCGGCCTGGCCCTCTACGCCGTCCCTCATCGAAGTTGCCTCCAAGAGCACCAGCTGCGCATTTCGCAGAGTTCTTTGGCCTCCTCGAAGAACCTGGGTAGTTCTCTAAAATTAGGGTCCCTTTTGTAGGTCCCCAACATAGTACGGCACCATTATTTAGAGAATGAATTACCCACCTCGATCTCAGCGCCCTGGACATCGGCCTGTAGAACGGATAGGCGGGTGCAGTCTTCATCTTCAACGGAGAAATCCCTCAAGGATGCTACAGTGTGTATATATAAAGAGAGGGCCTGAGCAACTTCAATAGGCCTTTAGTTCTTTCTTATGCTGTAGTTATAGGAACCCAGACAAATACTGTTGGCAATGATTCAGGCTTCTTAACTTCCTGGTTCCTTCACTCCCGCACGCGGACCACTGCGGCTTATGCCTAGAGAGACCATGCAACTTCTGTCTGTTCTACAGCCCTGTAAGCCCTGCAAACATAAACCCACAAGCCCCACGGAAGAAGACGGAGGGGAGTCGAGGGAGTAGGTGGCCTCAGGGTTAAATTAGGGCTGGTAATACAGGGGCCTTAATAATTAGAGTAAGGTTTTGGGGCCCGTTACACCATAGTTCTAATATTATAATAAGGAACCCCCAAAATACTATTGGCAATTATTCAGGCCTCAATATTAGGGGTTCTAATGTTTATGGCAAACGTTGTCAAACTGAGACGTTGTTGTGGGCCACTCACGCGCGAGGGGTTTCGAGTTTAGGGCTCTGTGGACAGGAAACAAATGCATGTTTCGGGGCGCAAGCCTCGGAAATCCTAAGGCCACCAGGCCTTTCAAAGCGCCTGCCCACGAGCGAAGCCCCAAAACCTCAATGAAGCCTTTCGAAACCAGCACCGCCTTCACAAGATCGCAGCAGGCTGCCCCAGCCGAGCCTGGAGTTTTGAACTTACGGTGAGGTTGACGGTAACTTACCCATAGGCCCTAAAGTAGTTCCTCTTTGGGGTTCATATATAGAATCCTATAAGGTAACCCCAAAAAGGAACTACGTTAGGGCCTATATATATATATATATATATGGGTAAGAAAACACAATGTCCAACTTTCCATGTGCGCGCAGTGTAAAGTTTGTAACTGTAGCCCGTCGTTGCAACTCATGTGGCGACGCTTATACACTACGTAACGAAGACCCGATCTGCTTATACACATGATCACATACATACACATGGCTACATACTTATATATATATATATATGTATACACATACATTACATTACATTATACATTACATTACATTACATTACATTACATTACATTACGTTACGTTACGTTACGTTACGTTACGTTACGTTACGTTACGTTACGTTACGTTACGTTACGTTACGTTTAATACATACATACCATACATACATACATAACATACATACATACATACATACATACATACATACATACATGCATATACATGCATACATGTCCTCGGGAAGCCTTACAACCCTGCAGCTAACAAGAAGAAGTCGCGTCCAGCCAAGCTGCTGGAGTTCTGAACGACCTGGTCCAGAGTCCAGCTCTGCAGCACGAGGGGCTGATGGCAAATCTCATAATCATACCTCGGCTTTTCAGAACGGAGTTTCAGGGATTCAGATCTAGAGTTGAAGCCTTTCGAGCTGGGAGATATCGGGCATTGGGGTTCAGCAGGGTTCATGGCTTAGGGGTATTCACCTTCATCCGAGCAAAAGCAAGTGTGGATAGTCTGGTCAATGAACGACAAGAAACCTGAAGCCTAAACAAGCAGGACGCAGGTTTGCTTAACCCTCGCAGGAAGCAAACACCTGAACCGTACCTCGACCCCATATTCGTATCCACTTTCTGATTTGCATTTATGAGTCCATACGAAGGATAGGTGTTTCGGTGTTAACATGAGAAGGTAAACCTAAAAGAGCCCAGATGCCAGGGAGTCTGCTCCCGGAAAATCGAGGCACCTCACAGGGAAGATCATGATTGACCTGCGCCCTAAACCGTCTAGGAGGATTCGTACTAGGATCTTGTATACTTTACCTTAAGGGCCTGAGTACCATGATAGTGAACGAGGGAGAGAGCTACATACATATATGCATACACATGCACATACACTTACACCTACACATATACATACACAATGTGCACATACAAAAACTTACTGCATTTAAGTGCATATATGTATACAGTTTCAAGTACGGTGAGGAGAGTGTGCAACCACGTTGAACCAAGCGGAACGAAGCAAGGATTGTTGCAAACAGTGACAGCGTTTTGGTATTGCAGATCATCGACGAAGCTCGAGGTGGCAAGGTAGAGGGTTTTGGAACTCAGGCTCGGGGCCACAAGATCCGCATTTTTCTCGGGTTTGCAACTGCAACCAAGCCCAACAACATCCATGCAGGTTTCAGTCATACCAGCGGAAGTCAGTCACAAAGAAAGAACATGGCAGGGTTATGATAAACAGCTACCAGCAAACCTTTCTGTCACAGCACCCCCCCTTTGAGACTAGGAAAATGCCACATATCCTGCTCCCGCTGCAAAGTAACCGCACCCGGCGCCAAATCCTCTAGCCTTCTCACTCCTGGAACGCCGTGAGAGCCCAAAGCGCATTCAACCCGGAACCAACTAAAACGACTCAAGGAAGAACTCGAAACCCCTTAAACCCATGTTTCAGTCATGTAGAAGCCCCCGTAAACCGCAGGAGCACCAGTCTTGACATTGCAGCGGGTGCTGTGAAAGACCACCTTCGGGCGCGGCTGCGAGGTAAGGAGCGCGATCTCAAAGCGCTCACCTGCATGGAGCTCTTCACGGCGCATCCAGTCTCAGGAAGCTATAGCCCTTAAGGACGAAAAGAGCCCTAAAAGGGTTTAGGGTTCATATACCATATAGGGGTTTCATAGTATAAGGGAATAGGGTCACTATTTTTAAGGTTCTTTTCGTCCTTAAGCTACGCTGAAACTTTTGAAGGGATGCTGGCGGGAGTGGGCTGCACAGGAATGAACTGTATGGGACGAGGAGGCGGATTCAAATGTTCAAAGTGCGAACGGCACTGCCGCAATGCCTCATTCCAACAGCTCCAGCGCTTGATTGCACTGCCAGGGAATCTCACGCATAGAGGTCTGGGAAGAGCGCCGGGTTACAGGCCATGAGTTCGTGAATCTCAAAACTGACAGCCCGCTTCTCCCTATTCTCGCCTGTAGCCCTCAGCTTGTCCGCATGCTCCGGATTGGCTTCAATGAGCAAGAAGTCGGCCGAAGGATAAACCTCAAGACTGATCCCACGAGCTGCGACTCCCATCATCCTTCGTCATCAGTCACGAGCACATCCTACTTAATTATGATTATGACCATCATCATCAGCGCATCCTCCCCTTTCCGACTATATCTCAACATGGACCTTGTTCATCAGATCCCCATCAAGCTCGAGTCTTATCAACCGAAACGGTCAAGTCAAGCAGAATAGACACCATGACGGTAGTATCAACAATCCAAAACCAACTGCTCGTAGAGCTTCCCCAGACTACACGAAGCCGTGAACAGGAGCCCTATATTGAAATGACCGGAAAACGGTTTTGGGCCGGGCCATGTTCTAGTTTCAATATAATCAGGAACCGTAAACTCGTAAACAATATCGGTAATCGTGTAGGCTTCCATGTTACTGAAGCCTGCACGGCACTGTATTTGTAAAAAGGAACAGGCCCTGCATGCCTCCCGCGCGTCACGCGTCCAGTTGCCCACATGCGCGCCCACGTCCACCACGTGCCGTGGCTCGAAACCGAGTCTTTCCTGAGTCGCTTCGGGGTCAGGCCTGCTACCACTACTGCAAAGGTATTCCCTTTCTGCCGGGCCACGCACATGTATACTATGTGATATATGTATATGTATATATATATATATATATATATGCCGTGGACAACATTGCAGCGTGCTGCTAGCTGCTAGTCTGATTAACCCTTGGGGCTTGAGCGATCTGGGTCGGAGCAGGAACGAAGTTAGTTGGCGGGTTGAGGGTTTCATTGTCGTTGGGCCCAACTTGGGATCAAAACTTCGCTCCCGAAAACTGTGCCAAGGGATATGAATTCGGTGTTCCACCTGCCATCTCCGTGCTCAAAACCCTCGCCTAAACCCTTTGTCGCCTTTTATGCTACTGGACTCAGGTCTGGCGAAAAGTACCGACACCGAAACCGCTTTGCTCAAGAGTCAAGCGGTGTGCTCATGACACCACAGTATGTTGCACGCCAAGCAGCCAAGATTCCGGCGCAAATTCAACAATGTAGACATGAGGGAGCGGAATGTGCATGCAACGAATGATGAAGCGGAACAAGCAAGCATCACATCACAGACATCACACGTGAGCTTTAGCAGTAGGGTGAAGGCTCTATACAACATGAGAAAATGGCTGAAGAGCTTGTGAACATCTGCAGTTTCGAAGGTTCCTAAAAAGGCACACCAACCGCCTTCATTCTTGCACAACGCGATTCCACTCATCAGACGTTTGTTTCGTAGACGACATGAACAGCAACCACTTGAGAAACCATGTCCTGCGACTGGAGCCTGGTCTCTGCAAGCTTCACAAGGCTTTCGTCATAAATTTCAAGAAATCTACGACATAGTACATTGGAGTGCACTGGCCCACGGTCTATGACGGCCGGCCAACAAAGCAATGTCAGAACTAACCAGCTGCATTGCGGATCGTCACAAGGTCGTCACAATATATGACCTACTAAAGTAAACTCCCTAACGTATAAGCAGAAGATCCAGTTGCATTGTGCTGTTACACTAGCAGGGATTGTGCTGCACAACGCCTTGATCGCTTCGAGGGGATTCATTGCCAAGATAAGAAAAGGGCATCCGGAAGCGATTTTACGAGCCGCTTGAGTTGCCGGAACACAGACTGAACATCGCTGGCATTCCCAAACTGCTGCCATGCGCTCTTACGTAACGACTGCTTGCATGCCATGCCTGTATGCAGCTCTATGAGTTCGAAAGCGGTGAGCTGTATTGAGCTTCCGCCACCCTTTTTTCGCTGAACCCCGAACCATAGACCCTAACGCCCCCTCTCTTGCCATTACAAGGGTCTTTGAAGAAACGGAGTCTGTCGATGCCGCCGCCCTTCCAGCCAAAGGTCGCTTGCAAAGCCTCCTGTGCGGTCCGAGCCCACGCAACGGGGTCTACGCTCTCACAACTCGGACATGCCAGGCGACGTCTATCAGGTGCAGATCGGCGTGATACTAAGTAAAGCCCCTCTCGGAGCTGCCTAAACATTTTGACCACCATAATCACCCGCTATAGGGTCATATAGGGCCTCGTAAGATTGCTCACGCGATGATTATGATGATGATGATGATGATGATGGTTATTCTGCTCGCTACGATTATTATTGACATGGCCTGCTCTTGTGTAGAGTCACCTCTGAAACCTTACCCCAAGGCTGCATGTACCTATATAGCATATACTTATGTAAGACCTTGATGTGCCCATATAGTATGCTATATAGGTACATGGAGCCGAAGAATTTCATAGCTAGGTCATGTTAGCTTAAGGAATATGATCCTCCACGCCTGAATCCGGGACCCTCAACGGTTGGCGAGTAATAGTATCGGGGCCTAGTTAGAATAGGGCTTTGGGGGTCAGGGGATCATCGTAACAAACACTTCGAGCCGGAAGATTCAGAGATAGACTAGATAGACATCTTACGACTCTGCGTTTGTGGTTCTTCAACTCAGGTATGAGCCTTCTGAAAACCCACGAGAAACAGCCACAACAACAAACAAACTTCCACTAAAAACAGACAAACACCAACTAAAACCATACGAACACCCACTGAAACACACAAACAACCACCCACTGCACTCTAGAAGACAATTACGGGGAGGGGCGGGTCAATCAGCCATCATGCCAGTGCATTTTTGCGCCTTACTACAAAGAGACAGCAAGCCACGGTCCCGGGGTTTTTGGTCTAAGCTGACTTGAAAATCGACATCTTCGGACATCAGACATTAGCAGCGTATTAGTACTAAACTTTCCAAAAACGCTAATTCACCCCGAAACCCTAGTGCCTCTAATGTAAATGTTAATTCTTTTCAAAGTCATCCCCCCAGTCTAAGGTCCAGACTAGATCTCCCCCACCTTCAGACTTCTATCTCGCATGCAATCCGGCCCCTGCGATGCTCAAAGAACCCTGGATATTGAAACTGCTAGCTGGCCCTTGCAATCCTAATGCCAACTAAATGCCCATAAGATGTGAACCCCCAAACCCGAAACCTCACAAAACCCTCCGTGCTGAAACGTAGCTCTATAAAGCCTGGTAGATCTTCTGAGGCACAATCTCATCAGCAAGCCCGAGGCACCAAAGGAAGCCGGAACACCTGTTAACAGAACCCTAGAACAAAAAAACACCAAAGCTTCCGTGAAGCTTTTACGATTCGAGGGATTGGGAAGCAGGCTCTTACTCTGTGACTTCGACTATATATCTATCTATCTATCTGTCGTTGCCCATATAAACAAAAGTGTATGTATACAAACGAAACATAGAGACATGTGCGCGTATGTATGTACATTTCTTCTTCTAACGTTGAAGTTTAAAGCTTCGAGATTTTGGATTCTCTCCATGCGCTGCAGTTTTCAAAGCTGCCGGGGTTGGATGCCCAGACTCGGTCTGGTAAGGGGATGTAGGGTTTAGGGGCATCTCGAAAAGGATTAGGGTTCCGGTTTTTGTTGCGTTTGCACTCGACGTTTCAGGGTTTGGGGCTCTTGGGTTTCGGGGTTCAGGGATATTTGAGGATTTGGGGCTTGGCTCAAGGGACGCAGTAAGTCGGGTTGCAATTGGGGGTGTAAGTGGCCTGAGTGAGTTGTCCTAATTATAACTTACTAAGTCCTATGAGCCTTTCAAGTAGTTACGCTCTCACAACTCGGACTAGCCAGGCGAGGATTCATAGCCTTTCAAGTAGTTAGGGATTTGGGTTTGCCCACTCGCATGGCCGGACATGGGTTGTCGGTGTAGGCAGTTTCGGTGAAACGAGGAGCTTACTTCGAGGCGCCGAGTCGCTTGGACAGGTACCACAAGTGAGGATCCTACTTCCAGGGTCTATGTTGGAGCCAGAAATTGAAGGGTACCCGTAGAACGAATTCTTCTGGACTTGAATTTGGGTCCGAGTTCTAAGCTCAGAATGCTTTGGTACTGGATGGACTCTTAAACTGCAACCGGTCAACTTGGCAGAATACGGGCCTCAGTCAAGTGTCCGGTCGGACTGTTTTGGCAACGGCACTGATGTAGCAGGAGTCCCTATATTGTCAAACGTGGTACCACCTGAAATCATCGGTGGTATAATGGGGGGGGAGGGGGACAAAACACATACCTGCTCAACTCTTTTGCAGCAGGCTTCTTTCGCCCGGCCAACCCTGAACCCTACGTGTCATAGTGAGCGGCTGTTAAGTCTAGGCGCGCGCAAGCCCGCCGGATCATCGCAGGGCAGCCACCCAGTCATACCAGGAGGCTACATGCGGCCACATGGACGGTCTTCGGGGCTTCAGGGCTTCAGGGCCTCTGAATGAGGATTTTCTGAAGGGTTTATACAGGTGGCGAGGTTCAGGTCGTCGTAATCCGAATTGGCGCCGCGTTTGGCATCGTGATTTCAAGCTGCAGCCACCACTGCCTGGGCGCAGCCTTCGCGAGTCCTATAGCTAAGTGCCGTTCTAGAAGAGAATACACAATGTTGAAGTGTCCGGGCTCTCAGCCTGTGTGACGCTGGAATGTTCTTGTTCCTAGCTTAGTATGCTCCGATGATGCCAGATAAACCAGACATGTGTCTACACTAATTATCACCCGGCGTGCATACCAAAATATATATGTAGTAACAAAGTGCAAATCACAGAGCGGTTTCATGTGGTTTCTAGTAGCTATAAGAGTTTAGGACATCCCGGTCTCTTCAAGTTGCATGGGAATGAATGCCGTGGCTGCGGCAGGGTGTCTTTGAACAAAAGCGGATATATAATACATAGCAAGATGTCGAACTTCAGGCCACTACACTACACACCGAAGCATGATGACACAGGACGGCGTGGGACCCTGTGTACATATATGCATATATACACGTGTAGCAACTGAAACACACATGTCCATGCATGTAGAAAGTGTGTGTTTGTGTGTGTGTGTGGGTGGGTGACAGTGTGTCTGCATGTGTGTACGTATGCATACATGGATGCCACTTCCCCCTCTTATGTACCAACGAAATTCCTACCGTCACAACTCATGCCGTCGTCCACCACCACCACCACCACCACCACCAACAACAACAACAACAACGACAACGACAACGACAACGACAACGACAACCACAGCCACAGCCACAGCCACAGCCACAGCCACAGCCACAGCCACAACCACAACCACAACCTCAACCACAACCACAACAACAACAACGACGACGACGACGACGACAACAACAACAACAACAACAACAACAACCACAACCACAACCACAACAACAACAACTCTTTTCTGCCCGAAATCAGACACACACACACACACAATGACGTACCTTTCACCACTGCAATATGGACACCGCCGAGATCAACATCGTGATGGTGATGACCGTCATACGGTTATCATCAACGGCATCATCGACATACTCCTGCCAGCTAATTCTTCTGCTTCTCTTCGACCATCAAATTCAGACCTGCATCAGAGGCACCAGCTTCATTTTCATCACAACTTCATTGTAACAGGCTATCAACAACATCAGTATTGTCGAAGTTATCCTCCTCATCTTCATCACTAACAACTGACACGAAGCTACGTTCAAGATCTAGCAGCACCAGACAAGATCTGGTAGCATGTCTACACCTCCTCTTCATCATCATTGACAACTGACACTGGGCATCATGTTAAATATGTGTATATACAATCACACAGCATGTGCTGCGGGCATACTAAAGGACATATATTTTACATATACACCAAGACAGAGCTCCAGAGACCGAGAAAGGCGCAGAGTGTGTTTGTCTGTGTGTGCGTCCCAGAGGGAGCCTAAACCCTAAACCCTAAACCTTGTTTTTCACAAGGGACTCGACTGCTGCCCTTACTGCCCAGCTTGACCCACAAAACAGTACTCATGACCCTAAATCCCTAAATCCCTAAACCCCTAAGCCCTAAACCCCTGAACCTCTGAGCCCATGACCCTAAATCCTAAGTTCGGAATCCCTGGCTCGGCGCACTTGTCGTTGCCGCCGAGATCATTTGAAGCCTGGGAGCCGGGATACTATATGATAACCTACTAAATTACTGTTACATTGCATTATACTCTGCTATGTTATGCTATACTAAAACATATATATATATATACACATACAAATATATATATATATATATATATATTGTCTGTATTATATGGTATTATGTTTTTGAATTATACTATGGTAGTTATAGTCGTTATACGACGGTCTCTTACATTAGATTTATGATGTATTATTTCCCTCTTTCTATTCTACTACAATGCTTTTTTCTAGTGTTTGCCCTCAGGGCCTCATAACTGGAATCCCAGGCCAGGTCTGTTTATCCTATCGGATGGCATGCGGCTGCACCAGTAGGAAGGTTGACATCTCGACGAGTGACAATCTAAGCACAGCAAGAAGATCAAGCTCAAGTGTACATGATCCCTCGAAGCCCTGCATGATAGGCGCTCTTTGGACGGGCTCAGCCAGTCTCAGCTGTCCCAACGGCACATAGAAAGCGTTTCCGAATTATTTGGATTCGCCCGGAGTGTTCTTGTGTAACGACGTGGCAGTGTTCTAGGCGCTGATGAACCATGACTCACGGACCTGCGGGTGAATCCGCCTGCCTCTCGTAGTAGCCATTGAAATCCAAGCGGCAGCACAGAAAACTGAAGTCAAGCACCCGCAGCTCAGGTTGCTCCTCCAGCGACTGCAATAGCTGCTGAAGCTTCATGCTAAAGGAGGAAGCCACGCCATCCAGTTGCGCTCGACACTCGGCCAAGGACCGCGCAAAGGGCTGGCTGCGAAGGACCTGGAACACGCTGCCCACATCCTCCTCCTCCGCCTCCTCCATGGCTTCTGCTGCTTCGAAGGAGGCAGCACAGGCCTGGTCGTGCAGGTGGCAGAAGTCTAAGGCCAAGGCAAGAAGGGCCGTGATTCCGGACAGGACCGACTCGCAACCTTGTGCCAAAAAGGCACCTTCCTCAATACTGACAAGGTAGCGATCGTGCTGCGAGATCACTTCGTCCAGATCTGTGCAGCTGCGCCATCCTGCTTGCAGCTTAGCCCAAGATGTGTCCAGGACTTCGAACATCACATAGGACTGAATGTTCTGCACGAAGTGCTGGAGCTGGTGGCGGAGGCATGAAAACCTGTGCAACACCGAGAAGGCCGTCGCCGGTGCGGCTCCTGCCTTCCCTAGAAAGGACAAGTGTCGTTGCAGGGTCATGTGTTGGCTCCAACTGGCTGCCAAAGCATGTGACACGCGCCTGAGCTTCCACAGGAAAGCAAAGGTGCGCTCGTACTTCTGCATCGCTAGAGGCGTAAAGACCACATGTAGTGGTGCATCGATGCTGTAGTCCAGCAAGAAGATGTCCCAACCCCGCTCGCCGGCTGAGGGGCTGAGGAGCTTCACACCCAGGCGTGCCAGGACATCTGCTGGGCAGAACTGCGCATTGGACTGTCGCAAAGCCATGTCCAGGACGCCCATCAAATGGTGGCGGTGGATCGTGTCCGCTTCCGCATTCAGCTCCTCCTGCAGCGCATCCATGAGGCTTTCAACGAAATCTCCCTGCCCCAGGAGGAGAAAGCGTCTCAAGGCAAGAGCATGCTCGCCCAAGGCATACTTGTCCATCAGCAGTCTAACGAGATGTTCATTCGTCCGCTGCGCAGCGCTCTCCACGCGCTCCGCGAGACCCCGCAAGAGGCCGGAAGCAGGGCCCTCCTGGCCTTCTTGGGGCTCCCGGATCTCTGTCAGATCGAATTCCCTCGTGGCTTCGTTGCCTTTACTGGACCACACCTGACCCGGACAGCAAAGGCGGATGAAGTTGACGGATTTACCGGTGAGGAGGATCTTCCGGGCCAAGTCGAGTGACAGAAAACTGGGCACCATCTCCAGCTCCAATCTGTACATGCGTGTCCAAAGGTCTTGGAGAGGTACCGAGGCTGCCACTACGAAGAACTCCCCGAAGGGGTCCTGCAACTCCCCTTCTGTCATCCAAGCTCGGATCATGGCGAGCAGTGGCCGCACTACCGAAGCCAGGATCCTTGTTGCTGCCTTCTGCACCTGGGTAGTCCTCTAGATTCGGGTCCCTGGGGTCCTTTTAGAAGGGTGCCGTACTATTTGGGGGACTTATAGAAAGGGGCCCTACTTTAGAGAACTACCCACCTCAAGATCTCCCGACTGCGCGAAAGCGACGACGGTGGAGGCCACGGCTCCGCCGAAAACGCCCTCGCGCGTGGCCTCCGAGAGAGTGGCCAGGAAACCCAGGCGGGCGCGCGGAGCCAGGAGCCAAGACCAAAGGGAGCGTAAGGTGAGCTTTCGAGACATCAGCAGAGCCAGCATCTCATAGTAGTCCTGGAGCTGCTGCCGCAGCGCTTCGCAAAGTGCCTGCTGCAAAAGCCCCTCTGCGGAAGCCTGATTGCTGAGCCGCGCATGTAGCGTTGCCAACTCCAGCACCTTCTGGGAGACCACCCAAGCTGGCCTCGATAGGATCACTGCAGGGTCCACTTCGAAGGACCCGTTGAGCTTGAAGCAGTCGCTGCTGACACCCTGTAAGGCAAAGAGTAGATCCCTCACCAGCTTCGCCTCTGGCAGCTCTGTGGGAGGTCCCCCGGCTCCTGCAGAGAGCTGCCAGCCCATGTAAACCGTGGGGACTGCCGGATCGGATGCTTTTGAAGCGCCACTCCCTTTCGGCTCGGAGCGCCGATGCGTGAAGTACTGAGGACTCCGCGTCTCACCTGCATAAGGATCCCCACGAAGCAGGAAGAGCAGTGCCAACACGGAAGACCGTTTGCCGCGGCTCTCACTCGGTAGGCGGTTTTTCAAGCCTTGGAACCGCAGATGCCTGTCGAGTCCACGGTCACTCTTCCTGAGACCCCGCAAGTGCTGTGCAATCAGCTCTTCAACAGCCGCATCCTCAGCGGCACCTCCCCCAGGTGCCGAGCTCAGTTGCTGGAAGATGCGGAGGAAGAGCGCATTCGCATCCTGCTCCGCGAGGTCGGGAAGCTCTGAGCAAACCAGGCTGCGCACCAAGCCCTGCATTCTTTACCCCCAGCGTGGCAGCTCGTCACGGCATACAGGACATGGGCATCTGGTGCTGCTAGAACATTCTAACGTTGCAATCTCCCTACAGACATTTGTGGAGCTGTGTTTGTGTTTGCGGCTGCATCTAATCATCTATCTGTCAACCTCCTGACACACCTACTTGCCGTGCTGCATCCACTACGGCAATCTTTTTGCCCGACTTCAGCATGAGTACAGGGAGCAGCACACGAACATGGAGCCGCAGCCACGCTGCAAGAAGTGTTTGGGAGGGCCTGAGGTTTGGCTTTTTCGGGCTTAGAGATGTTAAGGCTGTGGCACTCTTCCACAACGTCTCGAAACCGCTCTAGCGACTCTAATGAAGACTAAGATACTCTAAGATAACTGATTCATCGTGTTGTGTGCTTTGCTCGAGGTAAACGAAAAGCAGCGAGGCACAAGATCGTAAGGAACACAGGGGCAGAGTAGTAATCACGAGACAACATTCCTAAAGTCTGCACGGCTACTAAGTTTTCGACTCCTATGAGAACAATGTCAACATGATCAACCAGAAACAAGGAAGACTCCTAGATGGTCGAACCAGGCTCGTGCGGTTCGTCTGTCACTAACCGGTCGGGGTTCTGCCCACTTCCGTGACAAAACATCGAATCCTAATTATATCTGATACAAGCAGCAGGACACACCTTGGAGTGATCCATTGGGTCCTGTACCCAGATGTCAGCCCGAAACAAGAGGATTCAGAATCAAAGGACCCCATTCAAGCGCTGGTTCTTGCAATGCTATCTGCATCCGATGGCTTCAAACGACTTCAAACCAAACCCAGTGCAAGGAATCTCAACTCGACTCCCGAACTCGACTTTAAAAAGCCTAGATACTTATAACTATAGTCATCATCCCGAAGTTAAGGTATGTCTATAATCTTACTTCCTACGTCCCATACCCCCTGTTCCCAAGGCTTTATGAGGACCCGGCCCCGGATGTGGCTGTGGCTGCGCTAAGTGGGGCGCCCCGGGCATCGCCTCCACAGGCGGCTGGTAGCCTGGGATGGAGGCCGAAGGCCTCGCCGGAACCTCGATCCAAGAGCAGGGGGCCTTGATAATTCGAATACGGATGTTTTGGGCTTATTGTAGCATAACCATGGTAAGAAGCCCTAAAGAATGTAGTACTGGTCATTTAGTGCGGTTTGGGTTGTGTATAGTTCCGGCGAGCATGCTCGGACTCTCTGTCCACGCGAGCGCTTAGCAGCTTTCATCGCATTGACTCTATATGTCCCGATGTAAGCCGGCGGGTTCCGATACTCATTGTGGGTGCAGCGGAAACCAGGCACTGCAAGGACACATTGCCGTGACTGGGGCCGGGAGAGATCCCAAGAGAGTTGGTCCTGTCATGAGTCTTGTGTATGATGGACTGTGGGTTTAAATTTGGGTCTGGAGTTCAGGTCTGGCTGCAAGCCCAGATAACTGCAGTGCAGCTAAACCCTGCGCCCCGAAAGGCCTCTGATACAAAAAGGCCGCTGGCCCTCGTCCAATCTTTGCATTTTCTCGCGGGAGTGTAGCAATGTCAGGGGGAAGAGATTCTGACTACGGCATTAGGCTTGAGATCTCTAAAAGGCTGATTTGAGGATCAGGTCGCGGATGTGATATGGGTAGTTCTCTTAATTACAAGTAGGGTCCCTTTTTAGGCCCCAAGTATAGTACGGCACCCTTATAAAAAGGACCCCCAAAGCGACCCTAATTTAGAGAACTACCCATATACAGCGTCAGCCGAAGAGCGGGTTGTAGCTTACATACTGCAAACCGGATCCTCCATGAGAGACACAACACAGGCAACAGCGGGACCTTAATAATTACCTGTTCTATTTTGGGGGGCTCCTTGTGATTATTCTTATAAAATAATATACCCTGCTGAAATCATGAAGGCCCCTACATGAACTTTGGGCAACCAGGCGACCTGCATCTGCGGAGGCAGCTGAAAGTTCTGCGGCTGTGTGGGGGGTACCTGCCCCCCTTGTGATCCTTGTGGAGGGAGCTGGTAGATCTGAATGGAGTCGCGGTTTGGCAGCTGCTCTTGCCTTGGGACCTCCGGCTTTAAGATCTCCTGGAGACGATGGTCCAGGAAGGGAGGTTGCAGTTCGTGCAGGGGCTGGCCTGGGCCTTGGCCCATGGGCATCATGGGCTGAGGCATGTGTATCTGCTCGGGAAGCAGGGTTGCGGGGACAGTCGGCTGTTGCTGTGCCGGATATCTCTGTGGCTGGTGGGTTTGCATGGGTGCAAACTGGTGGTCTCTGTGGTCTGCTGGCAGCATGGTTGCTGGGACCCCGGGCTGCTTGGCTGGGGCATGGGGCTGCGCTAGGCGATGCGGCATCTGCTCGGGTAGCATGGTGGCTGGGACCCCAGCTTGTGGCGGCGCGGAACCGGGGAATCTCTGGGGTGCAAACTGCTGTTGGTAATGGGGGTGGTGCTCGGGCAGGAGCGTTGCTGGAATTGAGGGATGTTGGGTCATCGGATAACCGTGTGGTGGCTGCATGTGCTGTTGCTGTTGGAGATGAGGTGGAAAAAGGGCCTCACAACAATGCAGAGAAGCCATGGATGCAGTTTCCAGAAGTCGGATACAGGTGGGACGAGCACTCTCCGACGTCCCCCTTTTGAAGAGAGTTCTGCGCAGCTTCAACGAGAGGCTTGATGCCTGCATGCACTTTACACGGCCCCGCGTTCTTATGGAACCCTAGGCCTGGGAAGGTTGCAATAAGTGGAGCGCTCAACCAACTGCAAAGGCATAATGATAGACCAAACAACCAAATGCACCCTCAGACCTAAAAGGCCCCTTTTCAGCACGGACTTGCCGGCAAGCGCCCAAACATGCCCAAACGGCCATCGCAAGCCCAAAGCCGTAAACGGCCCCTGAAGCAGAGAAACCCCGAAGACGCGGCCTCTGGGCTGCGACCTCAGAGAGAATCTGATTAGCAGGTGACTTCGTGTTTCGCTGGGGTATATGACTTAGGGTCTAGCGCTTCTAGGGATTACCGAATTTCTAGAGGCCCCTGGAAGGTAGCCAGCAGCTGCCGTGTAAGCCTCCAGCCCATCATCCTCGCCAACCCCAAACCCCCTCGCACGCGAAAAGTGACATTTCCCGAAACCAGAATACCCAGAGCCTGCCCTGGCAGCTGTGGCTATTGTGCGTGTATATGCATGTACCTACACTGACACATCCTTTGTTCTACATAGTGTACATGTTTATTAGTGTACATGCTTATACGTATATGTATGTATAAACATACACACACACACACGCAGTATGCGGCCATGAAAGCAGACATAGAAATATAATGAACATGATGACGAAATAGGCAGGTTCGGATACCTGACGAGGCGAACCTAGTCCGGCCCCTCAGGCCATTTATGCAGCAAAATTCAACAAACAAGCCTAGACGACAAAGCTGTTAAACCCATCAGCCCCAAACCCTTAAACCCTATAAAATCCTGCACCCCTAGACCCCGATTACCCTTTCTGAATCAGGATTTGTGCAATCGAATGAAGGCTAAACCCTATAACCCTAAAGCGCTTAAACCCTTAAACCCGTAAGCCCTGATCCACCTAAAACCTTTGTTTATAACCCAGCCTCTGCCAGCTGGAACCCCTGACCCTCAAACCCAAAAACAAGCCCTAAAGCGCTCAAAACCACAAGGAGCTCTCTTTTCCGGCTGCCCAATAGGCTCCCTCGAGCCTCAGAGCTCGCTGTGCTCTGTTCCAGAGCACAGCCTGCATGCAGACCCCTGGGTAAACGGTTTAGAGTTTAGGGCCTGACTGACGAACCCCACTACGTTTAAAGGACTCATTATTGTGATCTTCAGGGTCTTGATATTTCGACCCCTATTCCTGTTACCATGCTTCTTAAAGTAGGGCTAGGTAATTTTTGTCAGGGGTCTACACTCTACACTCCTGTCACTCAGTTCGCTTCTGAAGCAAAAGCTTGACCAGGACGGACAGCAAGGAAGCCAGGACCTCAACATGCAGACTTCCAGGAGCCCAAGAGCAGCTAAGCATACACCTTCAAAGATGGAAGATGCCGCAGGTTTCAAAGCTTCATGACTTCATGACCCTTGATGCGTATCCCTGAATTGGTCAAGAAAAAATCCCGATTGAACTTCACACGGCAAAAACCAGGCTGCTCGCTGACGAACGCTTTTGTTGCCTCTAGATGCTCGCGTGCCTGTACCCAAATTGACCTAAATCTGAAGATCTCTGCAGAGTCTCACTCATGTGCCGGTCTTGTTGCCCCCCGCAACTCCTCCTTAAAACCTAAATACGCTAGCAATATCCCACCTTCGTAGGATTCCTTGTCCTTGTCAGAGTCATGGTTTAAAAGTAGGTCGTTACTACCGGGTCCAGGGAAACCCGGTGCTGCCCAGGTGCCAAAACCAAGCAGAAGAAGCTCAGGCCCAAGTTTGTGCAAGCCGAAGGCATCTGGATGGAGCAAAGGTGCTGCTCCTGGAGAGGTGCTTAAATCACGGTTACCTCATGTGCGGGATCCTTGTAGTACAGGGGTCCGACTATATTTCGGATCTATAACATCGTCATAGAGTGTTTGTGCATTTGGAGGGTCGAAGGAGTTAAGGAGGATCGTGCTTGCTATCTTCAGGCTCCTGCATTGGCCGCAAGCTCGCGGTTCTGCCCAAAGATTGCAGCCTTGGCCCACAGACTCTGGCACCGCTTTGGGTCTTTAAAGCTACTTACGAAAACCTCGAATGAAACAGAGTCAGACTGTTCTCCCTCAAAACTTCAGATAGCATGGCAGGAACCAGGCTATCATGGATGGTCCAAGCGGCTCGTACAAGAAGATGGTGGTGATCCTGTCTGATAGGCGCTTGCTGTGTGTCGCTTGCGCTTCGAATGTCGGGATAGTTCAAGCTTTCGGTTTGGATGAGTGGCCGGAGGTTCGCCACCGGCATCATGAAGCGCCTCAGTAAACCAGTCGGACAAAACCAACTGGGTAGGTGCCCATTTCCCCGGCCTCCTACCTCAATAGGAACCCCGAAGAATGTCATTATTGGTGACGTGAATGAATAGAAAGCTCCCATATTCCTGTAGAAGGTCTGCCGGGCAGGTCCAGAAACCCTGAACGGCCTGTCAAAGCAGCTCACTCTCACTCTCACGCCCGCCCCCTCAGCCACCCAAGAGCTGTGATCCTGCCGGTGCGCGCGACTGCCCCCTATCCTAGATCGGCCCAGAAGGGCCCGCAAAGTGCGGTGCTGCAGGGGTACGGTTTCAAGAGGGGGCTGAGGCTTGCAAAATATGTTACCAATAGTCAAGGACCCAAGCATCTCCCGACTTTGTTTTATCAGAAACTGAGAAAGCCTGGATATCCTTCGAAAGAAACCTTTGCTTACAAGACTCGCCCAAGAATCAGCGTCTCTAGAGAACCTAAGCTAAACCTGTTCCAACTCCGGTCTCCTGTCCATTGGGTTGAAGCTCGCTCGTGCCAATGGCTCCACCAGCATTGAAATTGCCCTGGGTATGCTAGGCTTCATAGTTGAGGGCTGACACATGACGATTGGACTGTAGAGTACTTGAGACGCCGGTCCGTCGCCACCCTCATGATCAACATCAGCATCAGCTTCCTGTCTCCAGCAGCTCCACGACTCAGAACGACATGATGGCTACGATATTGATTAACGTGTAAACGACAGTCTTCAGTGAGGTTGAAAAGGCTGATCATGACACGTGGTGACTGCCAGCCATGGTGAGGATGGGAGTGCCACGGCCATCAATTTCTCATAATCATCACCACCAGCATCACGGTTACCACTGTGATTACAATCGCCAGATTCGTCTTTTGCAGCAGCATGGTAGTTGTCGCATCAGTCCATTAGTCGTCTTCTTCGTTGGTGTGGTCACCGTGTGAATAATCACTCGCCGGGTGAACCCTAAACCTTCACCTACCCCATCAGCATCATCATCATCAGCATGCCCCAAGCCCCCAAGCATCCCCAAGCCATACCTCCTTGTCCTCCCCGTCGTCATCTTAAACAGCTACGAGCCTATCTGGGCCAGATAGGATGTTTTTGGTAATGGAGCCTACCTGGGCCAGATAAGGTGTTTAACGAGACTATCTGAGTCAGATAGGCTGTTTCGGGCGATCAGATTTTGTGGGTGCCAGAAAGGCACTTTTAGCAAACCGCTTATCTGAATCAGGTCGGGTGTTCTCGGTGTCCCAAAATCCAAAACGTCCTATCTGTGCTAAATATGCCAGTCAGCAAAAGCAGCCTATCTAAGTCCGGGGGGTGTCCCCTATCTAGTTTGCGGTTTTCGGCGAGTCTCGATTAAAACACAGCATAGAGCAAGGCCAAGGCCTGGGTCGCTGAATTGGCTTAATTTGGGACGACTGCGGTCGCTAATTTCGAAGATTTTGGAGGTGACGTCGCCATAATTTGCGCAGTGCAGCCGATCCGCCCTTACAGGGGCTACTGGTAGCACGGGCTTTTACGGGCCCTGGGATCCCGGCCGATCGGTCTCCAGCAGCAGACGTCCAGTTTCCACAGGGTCACTGGCGCTGCCTGGGCCGAAAGCCTCGAGGAGGTCCTGCGGTCTGAGTTTTCAGTGGGGCTTTGGGGCTTTGGGGGGTTTTGAGGTCGAGGGTCAAGGGACCGTGTCCTGGTAAAGCCCGCCCCTTGCCGTACAGCAACACAGTAGTAGTGCGGTAGTTATGCGGTCGTAGTACGGTTAGTTGCAATAACAGTAGTACGAAGAGTTGAGGGGGACCTGCAGCTGTTTGGTAACCGGGGGCTTAGGGGTTGAAAAAACAAGCCTCCTTTTGCAGACAATCTTGAGAAGCACATCCGGCCTCATCACGAAAAACAGGACAGAAACGAGCATCCGTATCTGGAATTAGCCCCGGTCAGAGCACAATAATTAAACGAGGGTGACCAACCTAGTCCAGTGCCACAACAGGTTCTCCGGGCGTGAGATTCAGGATATTCGTGCAAGCCCACAAAGCGTGCTGCGTTTTTCGTCAAGCATAGCCGTGAATCCGAGCTAGACTTGAACTTCTGCACCATCCCAGAATTACTAAGGTACGAATCTTGATCATGCGTGTTTAGCAGCCTCAAACCCCAAACTGAACCAGTCATGGATCGGTGGATCAGACAGCTAGCTCCCTGATCTGGTGTCCAAACCGAAACTGAGTTGCTGCCAAAAAACCCAACCCTAAAAAAAGTGCGGGAAAGTTCGGTAACGTAAAAAGCACATGAGTGCTTACGACAAGCTCCCAGCGGAGCTGTCTCCGGACCCTGTTTCGGACCTCGGGGAAGCCGTACCTAAAGCTACCCGGCAATATAGCAGATATCCCGAAAACCTCAACCCCCTTTTTGGAGCACGGACTTGCAGTGTATGCCGGAAGCTCGAGAACCCTCAACCCCTAGACCCTAAACGGCCGTAAACGCCTAATTCCTAAACCCATTCTACCACGAATGATCTACCAGGTTCGCAGCACTGACCCGAAGGACAACATGCCCTGCTGCATCCAGAGAAAACGGCGCTCCGAGGTTTTTGTTTTCCTAGGGTTTCCTTCGCTTTAATTCCAGCTTCAACACCATAATACTTTCCAAAAGTGGCAGTATGCATCATCCTCACCTGGCCGCAAACTTAGGCCCTGAAAAAGCCGCCCATGTCCTGAGCTGCAAAGTTGGACCAAATCTGAGAGAGCTTCTTCAAGCCTCCCGGCTTGCGAAGATCCTGCAACACAGTTCCGACAGCAGCGGCTCGATCCAGAGGCTAGATTCGGCTAGAGGGACAGGGAGAGGCAATCGCACTGAAAGTCGGACGAAAGAGTTGCAGATGCCTAATTTGATCAGGACCCTTCTCGTGCCATCACATTGGGGTATATGGTCCCCAATATGGTCCCCAATAATAGGTATGTGGCCCAAATAGAGGGTAGATGGAAGGTCTAGACATTCCCTTGTCATGTCGCTGCTCTTCAGGTCCTCCACGACACTCTTCGCATACTGCAGTGTCTCCTCTCGCGTCTGGTTGATCTCCTTATGTGTCCGCTGCCTAACACGCAATCTCTGCCAGCAGCAAAAAGCTCCAAACAGGCACGAAGGTGATGCAAGCGCTGATGCGGTCTTGATCACACATCTAGGCCCAGAAACCGGTTAGAACGGTTTGCACGAGGGCAATCCAAGCCCACATCAACCCAAATCCAAGGTCCCCGAAACCCACTAAAATACACACCAAAGCATCCCGAACTTTCAAGCAGCATACCCAGCCCGAAACCGGCGAGACACGCAAGCTCTGCAGAGGGTCCCTCCCAGCCAAGGTGCCAAAGCCGCGAGGCGCTGGAAGCAGGATGCGCTCTGCTGCCTATCACTTACCCATAGGCCCCATAGTAGTTCCTTTTTGGGATTACCTTATAGGATTCTGTATATGAACCCCAAAAAGGAACTACTATGGGGCCCATGGGTAGCTTTCGCTTGCAAATCAGAGATGAATGCTGCCTCCCCGAAAGACCTTAAAGAGACACAGAGAGAAGGAGAGATAAACGCCAACAAGAACAGCAGGAATGTGTGCTTTCAGTGGACAGTGAAAGGAAATAAGAAGCTAAATGCAGCTAAATCCGAAGGACAAGTTTCTCGGCCGTGGTACAGGCTGCTTCTCATCCGCTTCGCAAGCGGCCCGAAGCTCTGAGTGAGTTGACGGAAATCCTGCAGCGAAGTTAGAGGGAAACTCCGGGCACTTCAGTCACCCGCAACTTTCTGCAACCACGGGCCCAGAACCCTCTTTTTTTTAAATCGCCAGATGTGAGAGACGGGACATGCAGGCGTACTTTCAAGGAAGGTAGCTCCGCAAGCGTGCACACACACACACAAACACATAATCACACACACACACACACGCGCGGGCGTACCCTACTTTTGCCAGCGTGTGCAATCACGAACACATGACTACTTTCACACCGGCGATTTCATCTCTGTGGGGCCACGCCGGAAACGGTATGTCTGGCTTCGATGGGGTCTCAGACTCGCCCCCTATCCACTGCATATAATATGCATTAGCCCAGGCCGGCATTGCGCAAAAACCACATTTCCACAGTCACCGGAGGGGACGGCATATATTCCGTACTCCAGGCAGTAACTTCCCCTTCTTGTTACTTTATACGAAAGACATACAAGTACATCCTCAACCAGATAAATCCCTCCCTGGCTTGCCTGACACAGCCTAAGAGTGGGTCGGCACACCTGCATCCTAGTATGATTGCAGCGGGAACGAGAAACCAAGCCTTCGGAGCAGTCTCAAGTCGCAACTTGCAGCAGTCAGCGACCACAGTCGAACAAACACTCAAGGAGAAAGACATCCACGCGCACGAAACAAACAGCAAGGACGGGAAGAATGAAAGTTGAAAGGCTTCTTCGCTGCATCAGAGTGGCATCAGCGACCTTCTGCGCCCCCTTCACGACTTTCCTAAATCGCTCGGGTTTACAGTGCCACAAAACGCGAAGGACGGGCAATGAACTAGTATGTCCGATGCCGAAGCCCTCGGCGACAACCTCAACTCTGAACCCTGGAGCATCCTCGAGGAGTTCTCTCGGGAACATAAATCAGGAAGCTCAGTTGGGTTTAGGGTTTAGGGAAGCTCAGTTCGACCCCTGCTCGGGAGAGAGTCAAACCGCCAAACGCAAGATATTGAAAACTTCCGGTCTCAGCTCCCCAGGACGCATACTCTAGTCACGGACGTGTGGCCAACAAGACCTCTCCCCCCTTCCGCTCCGAGGCGGGGTTAAAGGCCGTAGGTGTGTCAATCGAAATTTCTATAGAAATTGAAACTGTGGCCTGTGTCCCATCGGTTCGCATGCGGTCTGGCACATAGCTCTTGTTTTGCTGATCTGGTATAACTATAGAAATGGAGCAGCTCGCTCTCGCTCTCGCTCTCGCTCTCTTGCTTGCTCGCGACTTGTCTATATCTCTGTCTCAATGCTCTTCTTCCACGCAGCCAAGAGAAGGCAGGTCCCCGACCCCTCCCAGCGCGCGCTCTGGTCTAAAGGTCTTCACGTGAAAACAAACTGATGAGAGGCCTGAGTGCTGGAACTGTGGAAATACCCCTGTACGAACTCCAAATAACCAATTCTCAGTTCTTACTGTTTCTTTTTGTCTCTTTCGTTGTCATTCGGCGTTCAACTCGCAGTTAGATACATCCTTTTGGCCGAAGCACGGCAGTGTGTCGGAGAGGCGCGTGAAGATCATCTTCAGGTCCTTAGATGCTGTCTGATAGGACTCGAGATGCAAGAAACTCGGCCGAACATCTCTCTCTCTCTCTCTCTCTTAAAATGGACAATGCGACAGCCACCCCGAGTACCACGTTCATGTTAGCGGGCGCTGCAAACTGGAACACACACACACACACACCCAAACAGTCAGTTTAAATGGCTACACTCCGGAACCCAGAACCCCTGAACAAATCTGAAAAGTCCAAGCCCAAACTATGTCACCCCAGGTTTCCATAACCCCTGAACTTCATCCTGAACCCCTAAACTTACACACTTTGCCATTCCATTGCAGACAGTCTTCCGCGATGGTCGCCTTGTCTAGTGCGAGGTCCTGCAAGCAAGACTGCAGGGGCAGGAAGCTGGACGGGTCGCGAGAAGTGCGCGGATGCTGGGCGTAACCGCAAAAGTCACAACTGCAAAAACAACGATAACGACAACTAACTAGAAAAACAATTTGTGACAACAGTCACCATCCACGGCACAGCACGCAACAAGCCAGCCGCAGCAAAGATAGGCAACTCCTGACACCAACCTCAACTGCCAGCACCACCATCCTTACTGAGCATAGTCATAAGGCGAAACTACAACCACCAGCACCACCTATAACTGCAAAGGCAATACCGGCAGCAAAAACACACACACACACATACACACACACAACCAGACACAGACACAGACACAGACACAGACACAGACATACACACAGACGCACACACACACACACAGAGACACACACACACACACATCACAGCCACTTCCACTAAACACTAATCACTATAAACCACAACCACAGCAGCCATACCAGCAACAGTGTGGATGGCATCGTCATCAACGACGACAGCAGCATGAACGGCAACAGCCACAAGAATGCGTGAGTAGTCACAACACAACCGGTCGTACCAGCACACAGCTATGGGATCTCCGCAATGAGCAACAGCGATGGCGTTGGTTGGAGTGGAACGTAAGGCAATACGTCCTGGTTCCGGACTCGGAGGCTACCAGTTATGGGCTTTGGCGACGAGGCGCCCGTATGGCAAATGTGTCAAATTTTCCACAGTGAAAAACTCATATTGCTGGAGGAGGTATGTTGGCTGCAGGGCTAAACGCTACATGGCTTTCAGGCGCTTTCAGGCAGTCTTTGCCAGGGGGCCCGGGGAGTTCTCAAATATTGGACGAAACCCAAGATCTCGAAACCTGTCGAATGCAATATTGGCTGCTGAACTACAGTTTCCGTCGGCCTTTGCGAAGGAGACGAGCTGATTCAGGGCTCCGCCTTGCAGGGTTGCTGTTGCCAATGCTAGAACACTTCCCTGTCAAGCAGCGCCAGCATCGGAATATGACGATGCCGCTGTCGCTGATAATGAAGACGAACAACTTGCTCCGTGATGGACTTTTGCATGGTGTTGACGATGATAACGACGATGAGATGATGAACAGGATACTGGCCAGAATGGTGGCAGTGTTCGTGGTTTGGTGCAACAGTGCTCCGCTGAGGGTCATGACGATCACAATGATGATGGTGGTGGTTGTGGAGGTTTTCTCGTTTCTCAGTACAGTATGTTGCAGTGGTCCATCAGCCACCATGTGTTCAACGCGGTTTCCGCCCAAGTACATGTTTCTTCCTGCCGGACCGTCTCTTTGCATCTCCATGTCCCACTCCACAGTAAACCAGGAATTTGCACTCTGTGCTGGACAGATCGATATCTCCACGACCAGGAGCCCCCATGGTGAAAGCTTGAGACTCCAGCAAGACCCAGAACGCGACAACATGAACTGAGTCTCGGAAATCGACACAACATGTGGAACAGAAGCCCCGCGTCCTTTCCAGGCATCCCGGATGTGCTGGACCAGGTCCACCACTGGGGTCCGCAGATCTTGCCAACTCCTGCAAGCGCGCAGGGCTGAACCACCGAAAAACTGCAGACCTTCTGGGAGCAGTGTTTGCCTTAGCTTGCAGGCCCAAGAAACTCGTTTACCGTAGAACCATAGGACTATACTTAGCCTTATGACCATTGTCATTCTCACAGCTTTTATCACTATTGCACCCCTTGTAGCGACTGTAATCAATGGTCCGATCGGAGGCCAGAAGCTTCCAGGGCATCTGCTGACATTCTGAGATGCAGCCCCGGCATGGAGATAAGTCTTTAGTGTTTCGGGGTGTAGGGGTTTATTTGTACACTCTCACAACTCGGACAATCCAGGCGAGGTCTCAAGCGTTCGGGGTGAGAGGGGTTTAGGTTTAGGGTTTCTGCATCCTGCTGGCTTTTCCCTGGAGCTGGAAATCTACAATAGCTTTGAGCGCACGTCTGTCTTAGACGTAGACCCTGCGACCAGGATGGTCGTGTTACTGCCACGCTACCAGCACAAAGTGAAGCTCGTGGATAACCCGGGTCCTGACAATAGCGTGGACGACGACCTGTGCACAAGGTCGCAGACGATAGCTTTCAATCTTCAAATGCCAAAACTCCATTCAATCGAGCAAGCTAGGGCTCCGTCATGTCAGGAGTCTAGACTGCAGCATGGAGGAACCATGGCGCTTGCAGGAACTGTTCGATAACTCTGGGCCGCTCAGCCGGACCCACCAAAGGAACCAGACCATTTTTGCGCCTGTTTCTAGGGGGCCTAGGGCCCAAATGCCCCGGCCTTGGGCATCCTTAAGACATGACTTGTTAATAAGACCTGCCGCCTGCCAACGCCGAATAAGCTTAGGTCTAAATGCGACAAGGAATGGGCTGGGCTGGTTTTATAAACTGCACTGCAGCATCGCAACATCACACCAAACGCTAAACCCTAAACCCACCATTCAGCACAGTTCGGACGCAGCCTCACCGTCGCTCACCAGCTGGATCGCTTGACCGTTGAACGCCAGAAGCTGCTCTGCTTGCCTGAGCGTGACGGGTGTAGGGCCGCTACAATTGGAATAGGGTTCCTCTGCGGTTTCTTTGAAACGGGATATGATATGAAGAATGTAGAGGCTTTGATAGTTAGAACGGTGTCTCGTGGCAAATTTTAACTAAGACTGAAACCAGAACTACATGGAACTACCAACTGCTCATATTACTTCTTCAGATCCCGAATTCTCAGGGACGGTCTAAGGCAGGCAATGGTGCGAGCAAAGATCGACACGCCGATGCAAAAACCCTCAAAAATCATACGAGTAGCGCCGCGTGCCAAAAACTTGCCAATGTCCAACAAGCAGCCCATGCTGTTACAATGCTTACCTGCCCATGAAGCTCGACAATCAGTCTAAGCTAGCTACAATCAGCGGGAAAGTTGAAGTGGGTGCTCACCCTGTTCATGCCGTCAATCCTCTGGCCTACCTTAAACTACCAAAACCTACTTTTTTGTAGGGTCCCTATAAATTCTATATTAGGGTTTATAATAAGGACCTACAAAAAAGGTAGGTTATGGTAGTTCAAGTAGGCCCTGAGTGTCTGTCCTCTCTATTCATCTGTCAAAAGCGACAGTTCTGGAAAGTCTCCCTCTCGGGATCAAAACCACTGGCTCGGCACCGGATCAGCCAAGACTCAATTCAGCAGCTCCACAACTTAAGCCGAACTTGGCCCCATCACACATGTCAGAATGCCAGAACGTCATGGACAGTTCCGTAGGGTCAGTACCTGCAGCCTGAGGTAGGTGAAACCAAAGACCCCTGAGATCAGCCAATAACGAGCACGAACTGCTCATTATCTTCAGGGTTGGGGGTCCCTCATACGGTTGATGATATAAACCCTGCATTACCCATAATAAGGAATATACCATAATTCCCATAGTTTGGGGTCCTTAAGGTAATGCACGACTTAGATCATCAATATAGTAATTATTTAAAGGAAGAGACATGCAAGGTCCTTAGGTTGACTGTGCCAATGTAACCTGCCGGATTTCCTATAAGGGCCTCAGGTCCTATAGAGCTATGTCCCCGCAAATCTATGGCAAAAACAGCAAAAGGAGGCAAAGCTCCGAAATGCAAAAAGAGTGCTCGTGCAGCTGTTGGCCCAGCTCTGCCAGCAGCACGCCTTCCTGGCTTTCGGACGCTAAAACAGTGCAGAAACATGGCTTTGCAGTCCAGTCCTGTTCGCAATAAATAAAAGTTTATATAGTTATGTATGTGTATATAAATATATATATATATATATAAGTATAGATAGATTGATTGATAAACAGATCGACAAATAGATAGATATGCTAGCAGTAAAATGCGGGTTAAGGGGAGATCACCATGCATGGCAAAGTCTGTTCCGATGAGATCTCCCAATCAGCCTAGCACTGAATGGTGAACATACACCACATGAGTCACATGAGGAAGGCCCAATGTGGCCAATGTGTGCGCAGTGCTGCAATTGCACAAAATGCCGCAAATTCACGAGGGTTCCCGGCATCCCACTCCTGTGTGGAATTGTCCATCGCTGCCAGGCTCAAGACTTCACGATCCAGCTCCTGCAAGTTGCCTAATCTAGCGACCTAAATAATTACCAATAATATTATGGGGATTCCTGATTATAGTTATAGTATAAAATACCCCATACCCTATTCAAAGCATTAAGGCCCCTATATTACTGGGGGGATGCAGTGGCCAAGGTGCGGCAACATGTGCGCACACACACACACACTCACACTGAGAGACACGCACACTCCTCTGTAGTGTGTTTTGTTTGTCGAACTTCCCTCGTCAGGATTGTCGTGCGCGCGCGACTTTAGCATCGAGGAGCTTTCTCTGTCTCTTTTTCTTTCTCTCTCTCACTCTGTCTCGCTCTGCACCTGACACAGCTGATGTACCTGGTCCAATCACCACTGGCTTAGGTGCCTGGATTTTGGCAGCAGCATCGCGAAGGAGGAGCGTTCCATCTTTCCTTGCATGTCTCAACTGCACTGAAACATACACCACCGGACCAAACCCTTAGCCCTGGACCCTAAGCCTGGAACCCAAGGTCGAACAGATGACAAGGCTTTCGGGGCCCCATTCGACACATATCTCTGCGTCTGCATCCCGATTATCTGCATTAGCATGAGTCAGTTTTCACATGCAGCTCGGCTTGGTTGCATGTGTTAGTCCCCGACAACGCATGCTTTCACTGCTGAAGCATTTATCCCTGATGCGCACACCTTTTCCAACTGCATTCGCATCGGTGGCGTGTTCTGAGAATTCGGACTCCCTTCGGAACAATCGCACTTCACGCAGAAATGTCGAACTCGAGATCTAGGGGACCGACCGTTTCCCGGTCGGTGCTCGCGGAATGAAAGCAAAGCTTAATTGAACTGCCGAACTTGGGTTAGGGGGAGTGGGAGAAGACAATTTCAAATTCGATACTTATACCAGAACGGCCGGAACACAAAGTAGTTCCTTTTTGGGGTTCATATATAGAATCCTATTTGGTAACCCCAAAAAGGAACTACTATGGGACATAAAGTTCGAAGCGACCGACTCATGAAGATCCTCGGTGTCGATCGGTCAATAATGGAAGCAATGAGTGGTCACGTCGCACACGAGTCTGCCACACTACAACGAAAGAAACAAGCATATGCATGTATGAATGCACACATGTATGAATGTATCAACGAATGAAAGAAAGAAGTAATTAATTAACGGAATGGAAGGCAACGGGATAGGATGGGATGGCATGGGATGGGATGGACGGATCGATGAATGTACGAGACGAATGAATGAATGGATGAATGAATGAACGAATGCAGGAACGAATGAAGGAACGAATGAGGGAACGAATGAAGAAACGAAAGAAGGAACGCACGAATGAACGAATGAAGGTGCACCTTATTCCTATGATGCTTGTCACAAAACCTGCATGGCTACCAAACAAGCAGCTCGCGTGTGTCTAGCAGCTACCACCCAGGCACCTCCAAGTTTGCACACGGAGCCGGCTTCAGTCCGATTTTGGGGCTGGGTTTAAGGGGTTTAGGGTTTAGGGTTTAAGGTTTATAACTTAAGGGTTTGTATCGAGCTTTGGTCCTCAACTGCAAAACCCAAACCTCAAACACTGGCTGGGCAGACTACACAACACGGGTTTGGATTTGAGGCTTTGGGGGGTCTTGGCAAACCGACTCTTGGGGATGTGGGGCGGGCAGGCCCTTCGGGTTTCGGATTTCGACGTTTGATCGGGTTTAGGGTTATACCATGAACCAGAATAGCCCCATTCCTAAACCCTAAACCCTAAACCCACATCCTCTGAGCGGAACTATAGAGCTTCAAGCTCGAAGACCAACCGTAGCTTTCAACGCGACGCCAGGAATTGCCATGTCGAGATTCGGCGCCTGCTCTACGGCGAAGTGGAGGTACTTTAGCCATCGCTGGAAAAGGACCTGAATATGCTCCCTGGTTGGCCCCAACATGTCTCGAGCAGGTGCTCACCACTTTCTAGACGCAAGCACGCGTTCACGGCAGTAACTAATTCAACGATTTGTACGACTCTATGACAGTTGTGTTTCCTTAGACACTGGGCCGTTGAAACCACATGTCCACAAAACGAAGCCACCATTGCATTCTGCTAGTGTTGGTACTCGCGAGCAGTCGAAGCCTAATGTTGTTTTATGCTAGCAGGGTTGTCACACTGTAGTCATCAAGCCATGAACTTCTAGATTGCGGCTCTGCGGCTGAGACAGCAACAGTATGCAAGCAATACATACAAAACTCGAACTCCTAATTTACACTGCTTCAGCATCACCTGGCCAAAGCACGTCCGCAAGCTGCCAGGCCCTGTCAACCGCCTGCTGCAGCTGCTTGTAGACGGTCGACATGTCTCCAGCCAACAATCCTTAGCATTTTTTGTGCATGGATCGGCGCACAACTCACCCAAGCAACAACCACATCATCAACAAAAACTTCTGCTGCTTCTGCTGCGACGAGGACGGTTCTCAACTCTTAGTGACAGTAGTACGTACAGTAGCAGTGTATACCAGTGCCCTAGTGCTTGTCAGTAATCTCCTCATCGTTCTGTATTCTGCCTACGAAAAAATTGTAATAGAGGTGGCCGTTGGTTAACATTACTACTGAGACTGCTAAGTTCAAGTCTCTCCCATGTTGAACACCGGTGTTTCATGCAAGCCACAGCACTGATCCTAAATCCCAAGATTGTCTGGGGGTTGGCCACAGGAGGGCTGGCGATTCTTACTCGTGCTGCTGGACATGAGCTTAGGGTTAACATGGGATTGTCGGTCGACCCATTAAACTCTAGTGACAGTATCCCCCTATAGACCCTATAAAGCCAAATACCCATGAATCCCAACTCTAGCTGTTAAAAGAGGGCTTCATGGGTATATTATAGCAGCGTATGGTATTCTAACTATGAAGGCAACACAGCAAGGGTTGGCTTTGTCTTGCACCCCATGCGTCCAAGCCTCCCTGGAGCAATGATCCTGTCAAAGACAGCAAGACACCTTTCCACCTGCTCTAGGCAATGCTTGAAGCGGTTCAGGCTGACAGGGTCTAGTTGCTTAATGGGTTCAAGCCCTAAGCCCTGAAGCACTACAGACCACAAGCCCCAATCAATCTCGAGGGGATTGGTGGAACGCTTTGGAATCGGGATTTCCAGCTCCGTACCTCGCCATCAACACCGAAGCTCAATGCAACAAGAACTGGAGGCATGATCGAGATCGCGAGGGCTTCAAAAGCCGTGGTGTCTTCCCAGTGCAACCCCTGAATCCTAAAGCCATCCAACACAAGCCTCAAGAAGTCGAAGGACCCCCCCTAAGTGGCCACAGCCCGGCCTTTTGCTGGGAGACTCAGCACCGTGAGAGACATCCTGCAGTGAGGTTGCGGATGAACACGTACTGTGGCTCGAATTCGAATATCAAGGCCGAAAGACTTAAGAATAGGGGTCGTGTGCAAAACGCAGCATTGGATCGACGTCAAAGTACTTGCAAAAGCTCCAGGCCTCCTCGATTTGTTGAGAGTACCTGTAAGCTCTAAGCTGCAAACCGTGTCGAGCTCTTTTGGCCCATAGATGTAAGTTTGTTTTGTCCTCCCTGGTTCCTTCAGCCGTCGCGACATGTCACCAGGCTCGGCCAGCATGAAGTAAAAGAGGCTCCTAGGCGCTTTCCGCACGAGATTCTGCGAAAAAAGGGCCACCCAACATCGGCATGTACATGCCAACACTTCTGAGCGCATGTGGGTTCGATCGGGGCCTTGCTCTTCGGTGCAAGTGTTTTTTGAGTATGCTGCTTCACATTGGCAACCAATCAGAAATTAATGCTACCTTTCAGCCGCAGGATGTCCATGAATGCTGTTTACGACAATGGTGGCCGGCGGCACCAGTCTCATACTTGGCAGGACAGAAGCCACTTGTACACCTTCCACAGTACCAGCAACCCGGTCAGCTACAGCACCGGCGAAATTGCCAAGACCGCTTTTCGGGCTTGCACTCTTCGGGAAATACTATTCACTCCGGGCTCGCACTTGAGTTGAGAGATGCCCCACTCTATAATTCCACTGCTGGTCCACTTACCAACACATCCCTCGGCTCTCTGAGCTATCCCATCCGTACACCATGCGATGTTTTAGACTTCAAGGTTCAGGGTTGACGTTTATCCCTTGCACGACCTTGACCGGAAAGGTCTTCTTAACATCTACAATCTTCCTGGCAAGCCTGCATGAATTCCGAGCTCCGAATCCTACCGTGAAGCCGCGTCCGATCCATCAGACCTCCATTGCGGAACGACAATGTGTAAGCGCAGATCTTCAAATCCAAACAGAGCGAGGCACTCGCTGCGAATGTAGCTGCTCACCGGGTACGTCTTGGCATGAGAACGGGAAAGCACTTGTTGGAAGTTTGGGGTAGTGACGACTTGCAGTTCGGAATGTGCGATCAAGTTGTTGGTAGTGGCGCCCTTGTCTATGCCAGCAGATAAAGGACATAGGGAACTAATTCGCAACACTCAACGCTAAACGATAAGAACCGCAAGCCAGTGCAAACAGAAACCTTCCTGCCTGCAGCTCTTCAGTCGTTTCGAACAGAGGATCTGATACACAAAGTAGTTGAACTGCCCCGCGAATCCAGGCCCTCGCAGCCTAAGAACTAAGAGGGCTGCATGTTTCCATAAGGGTCCATGTACCCATACAGTACTTAAACAGACTTTTCTAGGGACTACATTTAGGACTGAAGCTCTGGGGCCAGCGGACCAACAAAGCCAAAAAGGACTTGAGCTTGCTGTATGGCACTGTATGGTTCTAGGGTATTGGGATACTGGGTTTGATCTAAGTTAATAGGGCCTTATGCTCTCAGACTCGGAATCAGCCAGATGAAGTTCTTGGTCCGAGTTTCGTCGGCATGACAAGTTTGGCGCTATCAGACTTAGGATCGTTGGCACGCGCGCACACACACACATACACACACGGGCATGTCCTACTAGCAGCGAGACCATGAAGCATGCTTGGGGGGATGCGATGCAGCTGCTTATAGACCCACTCGAGGAACAGCGCAGGCGCCTGAGCAACGTGCAGGTACAACAGGGCCGCAATTGCGAGGCAGCCACAGGCGAGGCCCATGAACACGAAGCCTCCGCGGGGTGTAGCGGCTTAGGGTTGGGTTTAGGGTTTAGGGAGAGATCTCCAAGTACGAGCAGTTCAGAGATGGGATGCCGGCCAGTACGTGCTGTTGTTGGCTGCTTTTTTGCAGCATCTACACCTATGATAGTACCACCAGGTGAGAGCGGCTGCAGTGCTTGGGGGTCGTAGCGACGCAGAAATTTAGATTAGACGATCAGGACCTCAAGAAACCAAGATCTTCCAAGACACCGCTAAGCTGCTAAAATCTAAAATAGTCACAACACAAGATTCCTGCCTAATTGCATCTTCCTGACGGTTCAGGCCCAAACCTCTCTAAACCTCAAACCCCAGACCCTTTTGCACAAGGGAATCGACTGCTGCCCTTACAGCCCAGCTTGACCCACTAAACCCTAAAATGCTGAAACCCTACCCTAAAGCCCTAAAACCCAAAACGCCAAACCCGAAAACCTTTTTTTTGTTCGCAAGGGACTCGTCTGCTGCCCTTACTGCCCAGCTCTTGACCCACAAGAAAACCCCAAAACCCAAACACCCAAACCCCTAAACCGTAAAACCCTAAACCCTAAAACCGCCAAACCCTAAAACCGTACGGCCCTAAACCCTAAAACCCTACAGCCCCAAACCCTAAACCCTAAAACCCACAACCCCAAAACCCTCAAAACCCCCTAAAAACTCCAAACCCCAAAACCCTACAGCCCCAAAGCCCTAAAACCCTACGGCCCTAAACCCCAAAACCCCAAAACTCTAAACCCAAGCACCCTAACCCCTAAACCGTAAAACCCTAAACCCTAAAACCCCCGGACCCTAAAACCCTACAGCCCTAAACCCTAAAACCCTAAAACCCAAACACCCTAAACCCTAAACCCCTACAGCCCCAAACCCCAAACCCTAAAACCCTAAACCCCAAAACCCCAAAACCCCTAACAACCCTAAAAACTCTAAACCCTAAAACTCTGAAGCCCCAAAACCCCAAAGCCCAAAAAACCCTACAGCCCTAAACCCTTTTTTGCATCTGGAAGGTGCGATCCCTAAGCCCCAAACCCTTTTGCATCCAGGACTCTTGCAAGCAGCCAACCCTAAACCCCTAAACCCTAAAACCCTGAAACCCCTTTTGCATCCAGGCCTATTGCAACCCCAAAACTCTCAAAACCCTAAAAACCCTAAAATCCCTAAACATCCTAAACCCCAAAGCCCTACCAGGGCCTCTGCTTGAGCGCTTGTCGTCTGGTCGCAGGAGGTCGTAGATAAAGGTGACGGTGGATATCAAGAGCATAAGGACCTCACGTTTTCTAGGGTTTAGGGTTTAGGGTTTTAGGGCTTTAGAGTTTGAGGGTTTTTAGGGTCTTTGGTAGCACAATCACTCTGAGCTTTAGGGCTTTAGGGTTCTTCGGTTTTTGGTGTTTTAGGGCTTTTAAGGTTTAAGGGTTTTCTAGGGTTCCTTTCAGGATTCCCTTAAGGGTTTCATAACGGGATTTGGGGCTTAGAAGCCTTCTAAATAGCAAATTTGTGTTTAAGCATAATACTAGTGAAGAAGCATGGGTATTTAGTCGCGAGGCTTCTATAACAGCAGATGCACCTTGCGGCCGTCAGGCGCCAGACAGCGGCTTAGTTCTGATTTTCCGTTTGGGATGTTCTGCTGTAAGGTCTAGGGGATTGAGGTTTAAGATGGTTAAGGGGTCTAGAGTTTAGGGATGGTTGGGGCGCAATAGTTGAGGATCATTGGGGTGCTGATGGTTTTGGGGGTTCCAACATGGAAGAGAATGGGATGGCACAGGCGTCCCGTGGAGCTGCGGCTCTAAATCATAAACCCCATGACCTGGACCTAAAGCACAAAAGGCTCTAAACGGTGTGAGAGCGAAACATCACTCAGCCGAAGCGGCCCCAGCCACAAAGGCGATCACGACGGCAATGTTCCAGGGTCGCATAGCCTTCGATGCACTATCGGAATACGCAGCAGCTCGAAAGAACAGCCGGACGAAATGCGCTTGGTGTCTGTGCAGAAGCTGGCTCAGCAATCCGCAATTCCATACCCCCTAACCACCTCAATATGTCAACTCCACATACCGATCCGGCCTCCAGCTGCTCGCAATTTGCAACGGTGGCGCAGAAATTTGGCATCCAGTCGCTAGGGCCTACCTCAAACTCGCGGCGTAGCTGGTCTACCACATCCTGGAAGCAACCAGTGCAAAAGTCAGGTGGCAAATGTCGGTAGCGCAAACCACGCAGTGCCGAAACCCGTGTCAATGCAAATGGAAATCTTAACCTCCAAATCAGTCTAAATCAAGGTCTCTCTCCATGCATCCCTTGCTGATACTTCAGTGGGGTTTGGGGCCCAGTATCTCTTGCGGCTAAGACGCCTACGCAGACTGGGGTTGGGCGAGTTTCCGAACTCTTCGGGCCTCCACTACAATTTTCATCTTCTTGGCTATTTTTATGGGTCGTGTATTAATAGTACTGGCATAATTAGTCCTAGTCATAGTCCAGACTCTTTGTATCTTGGGTCCTCGGAGCTTTCCTGCATCAGCCGCCGAGAATTTCCTCAGCTACCAAGCTTCGAAGGCTTAATGGCCATCGGGGTTGCTTGATTGAGGACTGGGACACAAACTTGCGGGCTTTTGGGGGGGATCTTAATGTTCATTGAGGCGCCGCCGGGTTTAGTTCTCGGGAGCCTTCGAAAGCTTCGTTGAAGCTACAGGCTCTTTTGACATTCGCCCGGACTTGGCAGGCAACGGCCAATTCTCTCAGTTTGCAGTAATCCTGGCCCTGCACGAACAACATGGATTATAAATACAGACAGGGTTCTGTCAGTGCCCCAGAGTTGGTGCACCGGACCACCCAGCAACGGGACAGAAATGCCTTGCTTGCCACGCACAGTGCGTAGGCAGCTCTTATGGAGCTTATCTGCAGCCCGCAGCCACCTGTCGTTCGGCGTGCTGTCACGGAGTGAGTCGCAGAATCCTTCGAGCTTGCGCTCACACGCAGCTTTGTCGACAACGTAATCGAAGCCAGAGCTGGGAGTGCACAGATCGACGACGTACCTGCTATTTCAAGTCTGGGCCGTCAGCCCTCCTTGGTTTGGGAGTTTGGGGGTCTTGACGCCTATAGTGACAGCAACGCAGCAACCTCTGTGGTACAAGCAGGACATCACGGGTTTAAACGCCAGATCAGACCGAAAAAGCTTTGCATGGGGGAGTTCCGGCGAATGGGCGCCGAGCTGCGCGCTGAAGAGACCCGCTTGCCTCGGCTTTCCGAAGGAGTGGCCCCAACCCTGCCCGGTCTCACCCTGCCTGATACATCTGGGTAGTTGTCAAAATTAGGATCCCTTTGGGGTACCCTAAATAATAGGTGCCGTATTATAATAAGGACCCAAAAAGGAACGATAATTTTGACAACCACCCATCTGCTGTACGGCTCTTTTCATCAAAGGGTCAGCTCGAACACAGGCTGCACGTTCTTCGAGAAACTCCTGGGCTGCTCCATCCGATGCTCACCAGGTAAGATGGACATCATGGTCGCATAGACCTCGGGCAGCTCTCATAAACGCGTCTTGCTGCCAGCTCTGTTGGGAACGGCATGGAACAGCCTCATTGTCAAATCCACCCTGTTATCCACTCCAGTTCAAGCACATGCTTACTCGAACAGGCACCGACGGAATCGACTGTCGCAAATCCCCAGCCCCAAGATCTGAAATAGCCCTTCTCCACAAGCTTCCCGTGTACTTAAACGATTCCGCCAGTCTCCCGCCTTGTGTACCTCCTCCGGGGTGGCAGCTACAGTTTGCTGCTGCCAGGAGCCTCACATCAAGTCTAACATCCTGAATTAGAGATCGAATGCGGTACACGGCATGCCAAACTCCAGAATTCTGGCGCAAGGCTGAACAGCAAGGCTTGCAGCCCAAGCAGTTTAGGGTTTAGCGTTTAGGGGTTAAGGGTTTAAAACCTCATTGATATCGTAACAGATGAAGCGCTGAACTGAGGTCATGACTTCGGACCAGCCACGGGTGCTACCGGCAAAGGTCATGCAGCACTACTGGGCTATCCTTGATGCTGCACGATTTCGATTTAAATGACAACACTCCGGTTCACAGCACGACTGTTACTGTAGCACTTTTCTTGCATCCGCAAGATCCCCTTGAATGCAAATGAGGATGTATGGTACTGCCAAGCTGCTATTACGATGATGCTCACGAAATCAATTTCCGTCGGGGTTCAGTGTGCCAGCCCTCTGAGTGGACTCAAGCATCGGGTCTGGTCGTGAAACTTCGGCTGTCTCTGACTCGCAAACAGTCTTGAACAACATGACATCTGCATCCTTATGCTGATGTTCGGAACGAAGGTAGCAAGCAGTACAGCGTCAGCAAACGAAGCTGGAAAGGACGATGATGATGAAGCGGAGATGCGGATCAAAGCTGTAAGAAGTCTAGTACTTGTGCTAAGATGAACTCATCCGGTTTTAAACATTATCCTGAGGCACTGCTAAGCATCGCCAGGAGAGCAATCACGAACGCAGTGCCAGCAGCAGTCACCCGACAGATTCGATCTTTCTTGCCTTAGGGCTCGGAACAAACTCACACCGCCAAAACACAAATAGGACTTCCAACTGATCAATCTGAGGCCTGAAACAAGTGGTCACACGGTGCTATTATAAGGCTGTACATTGTCAGGAAGCCAAACAAACAGTTTGGACAGTGTGTTTTGTGGTGTACGGCTTTTTGAGCTGAGGGTACTCGAGCACAGGAACGTGTTTGACCAACCGCAGGATGAAGTGTAATGCCTGCGGATACGGCAACTCGACGCTTGACGGAATTCGGAACATGATGACCGCATCACTGAAACTGCAAGCTATCAAATGGAACAATAAAACTACCCAAGTTCGTCCATGCCGCCACATGCGGCATGGGCACGCTGCCTATGACGATTGTGTGACTAATGACTAAGAGCACCGCCGCTACAGTATCGTAGTGCTCGGCACGGTCGTGGTGGCGGCAGCATCGGTGATAGTGGTGGCGGTGATTGCTTTTGTTGCCGTCGCTACAGAAGCTGAGTGCACGCAATCGCCTGCTACACTTCCACTGCTGCCCCGGTGCTGACTCCAGGCCTCCCGGAAACAACTCGGCCTCGGAAAAAGCATCCATCATGGGTTTAGGGTTAAGGGTTTGGGGGCGAGACCTAAAATTCAGGCCACCCGAATATTACCAAGGCAAAAGCTTCAGAGAATAAGGGACTGAAGTAAGTATGATATCCTGATGCTAGGATTTTCAAGGCCCTTCATAAAAAAGGGTCTAGGGTTCAGGGTCGGCTTCTAAAGACGACCAAATAAGGGGATCTCTGTTTGCATGCGTTGAACTCACTGGCTGGACTCATATTCACCTGGACACGCAGGTCCTTACGCCAGAATACCCAGAGACTCCAATATTCCTTAATTAAGGAATATTCCTTAAATCATATTAAGGATCCTACTAAAATTTAAGGAATATTCCTTAATCAAGGAATAATGGAGTGTCTGGGTACCCTAAGCCCTAAGCTAAACCCCGAGCCCTACGCGATGCTCGAAATGTAGGAACCAAGAGACTGAAGGATCCCTCATAATGGCAGCCTTATCAGAGAAGCATACATATATGTACATATATATATATACACATAATAGAGAGATATACCGTGTACATATCTGTACATATCAATCTGTATATATATATATATATAGATATGCACATAGTTGTATCATATATATATATACAGACAACTTTGAAGGCTTCTACAAGTTACTGCAAAGCTTGGAATAGAAAGGTACTAGGCTTATCATAAGAAATCCCAAGGAATAGCGTTATAAATTCTTCAGGCTTCATATTGACCTTGTCTAGTTACGAGTCTAATTCGAAGACGAGTCCTTGTGTCGGGATGCACTATCCGTATGTGACCTGCCGTACTTTAGTTAGAGTACGCAGCCACTGCGCGATCTTGTCCTTTAGCCAACTACCCTCAACCTCGGACTGGAAAGCCCTCCATCCTAAGCCCTACGGTAAACTGTGGACCCTAAAGCCCTAAATCCGACCCTAAAGCCGTCCACTCGAAGTCTCTGGGACGTTGCCTCCTTCGTCAGCCGGTGCAGAGGAGATCTGAAAGGCCTGGGAATCGCATTCAGTCAATCGGGTCGCCTGATGTTTTAGCGGGTTTTTTCCTTATGGTTTAGGGTTTAGGGTTTAGGGGTGTTTTAGAGGGTTTGGGGCTTAGGGTTTTGAAGTTAGAAGGCTTTGGTATTGGTTCGCGAGTCCCTATTTTTCTGAACGCCTATTTTCGGCCTTGCATAGATCCGAGAAGCCGATTCGGCAAAGCAGGTTTATGTTTTAACTAATGAAGGATAATCTTACTAGTAGTCATGGCACATACAACATTGATTAGCTGAGGGTGTGGAGCAAGCTTGGTCGCCGTACTTCCATTCAGCAAACCCAAGTTTTTCTCCAACGTGGTAGCTGTGGAAGAGGAACGATTTAACGGACAGCAGAGTTCGAGGAGAGTCCTGCGTAACGTAGTGTCCTGCATGATGCAGTGTGTGGCGACACATGAAAAACACCAAATTGTGTCAGGACCCACAGATTTGGGCGACCTCGGGCTTGCTTGTTGGGTAGCGAAAACCGGATGGATCAAACTAAGAGCCGGCTTAATAAACGGTTTCGGCGTGAACGGAATGCAATGCCCCCAGCGGGACCCGAAGTTGGAAGGGATGATGCGGAAATCCGGCACGTGAGACGTGAATCTGTCACTTGCCGAGATGAGCGCATGTTCTTGGGCGTCACAAGACCAGGGGAAAATAAAGATACAACACCCATAGTGCGACAAGTCCCATGGCCGAACTGTTGACTGACTAGCGTTCGCTCCACAAACTTGACCTCGAGCAACTGGTACCCGCGGCACTCCGAAAGGAAGCTCTGGATGCACCGAGAGACAGCATGCAGCACGGATGGTCTCTCCACCTGCGGTGTGTGCCACCTTGGAGTAACTCGCATGTCTGCGACAATGCTGAAAGGCCCGTTACATGCTTCTGGGCGTGTAAAGCGGGCATGCGTGGCAGGCGCAGAGGCATGTCCACATCTTGACTGTCGAGCACCCCACACGGCACGGCGCTCTGCTAAATCCTCAAAGCTACTCCTGTAGGTGCGGACAAAGATGCTGCGTGGTGCTTGCATGCCGGAGACTGGCCTTGCGGAACGGTGTAGGGAGTAAGAGCGCGAAATAGGGCTCGACGCGTACTTCCCAAGCGCATAGTCGAAGAAACGACAAGCTGGAATCAAATCAAAAGCTATTCTCGCTCACCACCGGGGTCCGCCAGGTAGAGCACTATACAAATGATGGACATGAGACACCTTTTGTGCAGCCTGAACAATAGTCTTATCACTACAACTGCAACTAACATCAACGACAACGGCGACAGCAACAACAACAGCCAAATATCACTGCCGCCATCACCATCAGCACATACAAGCACCGCCACCAACAACAAGAACAATAACAATAACAAGAACAATAACAAGAACAATAACTGCCTCTGCCACTGCCACCTCGCCACTGCTGCTGCTAGTGCTGCTGCTGCTGCTGCTGCTGCTGCTACTGCTACTGCTTCTGCTACTGCTACTGCTACTGCTACTGCGACTGCTACTGCTACCCCTACTACTACTGCTGCTACTACTACTACTACTGCTACTAC